AGAAGAACAGGGTGGTTGGTGAATTGAGCAGCGTCTTTTTTTTTTTTTAAGGAGTTTGTCATAGATTTCTTTTAACCAGGTCAGTGCTCCTGCCTAATCTGCAGCCATCTAGTGGTCTCCAGTATTAACAACACCTCCAAGAAGCAAACAATTTTGCCCGGTGAAAAACTTGAAATTTGTAGATGGCCCCAAATTGGGAGGGGTAGCTCATGCTGCAGAAGCCAGAATCGGGATTCAAGATGACCTGAATGGATTGAAGAACTGGGCCAAAGCTAACAAAATGAATTTCAGCAGGGACAATTCACCTGACATTGCTTGTAGGGTTAAAAGAAGTTTTGTAAGGAGTAATTTATAAATTATTGTGAAGAGAATTAAGAATAGTTGTACTGGAAATCTGAGTTTATAGCAATAACTATAGTAACAAAATGCATAATTAGAAACACTTTAGAAAACCATCAGTCGAGGTTGAAGGAAGACTCAGGCTGTGATAGCCAAAAGTTTTGAAATGATGTTTAAAAGGATGTTATGCTGCAAAATATGTGTAAAAACTAATAAAAATTATTTATATAAAATAAATTGAATTTCAGTGGGGAGAAAAGTAAGTCTTATGCACACACTGCCCAGGAACGGAACCCCTGCACAAAATGTTTGCCACCTGTATGTATGTTACATAAATTATGCAGTTTCACCACCACAGATAGCAAGACCAATAAAGTAGGGTTGCGTTTGTTTGTTTTTTGCAGCATACAAACTGCAGTAGTACGAAAGGAGCACTGCCTGCAGCAAATGCACAGAATGGAAAACGATGCCTCCTTGCATCCCTAATTGGCAGCCACTCCTGGTGTTCGCTACTCCCCCCCCTCCCCAGATGCTCTATTGGAAAGTACTATTTCACAACATAATGTAATTCCAGGGTGGGGTGGGGAGAAGCTGCTGGTGTGGACTCTGCTGTCACAAACACTATATTTTTGCTGCAGTGCTAGCAAACCAATGTTTTAAATGAAATGGGGGGAGCTGCTTCTGGTAGCCTGCCACTGTCCCACCCCCAAAAATAACTTTTGGGGCAGTCCCCCTCGCCCAACCCCCCCCCCCAGATTTTTCATTAAAGAACCTAATTTAATCACCTTATGTTGCAGTGGAAAACTGTATTTATCTGGGGATTCCCCACCTAACAAATGTTGGGTGCATTGCTAATACTTCAGGCTGGTCCTAAAGGCAAAACAGTGGAATTTTCAGAAACCGGCAGGATTTTTCCTTAACTATTCCATGGCCACCGCTGCTAAGTAATGCTACTAGCAGCGTACAAGAAGGAAAGGAGACAACAGCCACACATGAAAACCTTCACCACCATCATCAAGATAACAATTCTCTGCTTCAAAAGCACCACCAAAACACCAGTAATATGTTCCTTGGGGGTGAAATCGTCTTTAACAATAAGCCTGCTTACTCACAGGTGGTTTGCAAAGATTCATTCAAGCCACCTTTTGGTTTCAGATGATACCACAGTTTGTGTGTCCTTTTTTTTTTTTTAACTCAAGAAGATTCTGAAAGTTAATCTCTGTAGAAAATATTGATTAGGTCAACTAAGCAAAGTGTGTGCATCTATCTATCATCTTTCTATCAATAAATGTTAAAGCAGGCATGTCCAAAGTCTGTTTCGGGGGCCTAATCTGGCACGCTGGTCAGTTTAATCTGGCTCCTGTGGCAGATTATTTCCTGGGGTAAAATCCTAAAGAAACCTCAACAAGTTCAATCCAAAAAAAAAAAGCTGTGTTAAAGGAATTTGTTTCTTTCAGGACTTCAATCATTGTTTAATTTGCCAGATTCAAGGGAATTTTTTAATGAAATATGCTGGTGCCTCTGATTAACTGAATAGCAGATATGTACATTTTTAAAATACAAGTGCCTATAAAAAGGACAGATTGGAAGCTCAGTCATTAAAAGAGGCACTCACCCTTTCTTGACACACACAAGGAATTCCTCTTCTAAAATGATTTGGCTTGCAACACCACATGCATGCATCAACATTTCAAAACAAAGAATCATTTTCAATGCTCCAGAAATATTGTCTTGACCCACACTCTGATGGCCGCAAATTTAATTAATAGACTACAACTCTATGCACACATGCAAATTTAGATGAACTGAGTAAAATTCCATGCATTTAATACCTACATCTCCATCCCACTCTTTAATCCTAAGTGGTAATGAGTCATCATTTGGGGGGGAGCAATTAAAAATAAGCAATTCATGTTCACATACATAAATATATATCTTGTTTTTTTCAATCTCAAGAAGTAACAATTCATCAATAAATTAAAAGCAAAACAAAATACGAAACTAGAATGAAAAATACAATGAAAACAGAAAATGTAGATGTTCTAAACCAAAGCCAGGCAAGATTCCAAGCTCCTTAAAAAGCATCTAAAATCATTATTACAACACTTGGGCTTGTGGGGGTGGGGCGGGGCTTATGCCTCACCTGTGGCACATAAATCATGAATTGAAATAATACACCTACAGTTAAGTTTGTGAGGAAAGAACAAGAGAGGTGTGGTGTGTTAAGTTGTGGGCGAACATATCAGACGACACAGCGATTCTTCAAACAGCTCTTGTTTATTCAGAGGCAGAACAGAACCGAACTGAAGAGCTCAGTCAGCTTGCTTATATAGAGCTCCAGAACATCGTAACTGTAGCAACTTTCTAAAACTATCCAATCACTGAACGTCACTTTCGCTCCTTCATTTGCATACAAACTATCCAATCACTGAACGTCACTTTGGATCTTTCATTTGCATAACTATCTACAGTATCCCCCTGCCGGCCCAGGGTGAGAACTTCAGTACATAACATGGTGTCTACAGAGGAGTTCATTCAAACACCCTCATGTGTTGCAAAAATTCATGGGTGGGTTGCACTGCAAGCCCTTCCCCAATTACTAACATGCATTGCCCACATCCCACATAGACTGTGCATTTAGGAGCTTTCTGAAGGCTGCTTACTGACATGCCAATGTTCTGTGTACAGTTCCTTCATGTACAAGGGATGCTGGGCCAGTCAGAATCCTCTCTTGCATAGAGGACGTCTAAGAGTCTACATCTGTACATGGCTTTGTGTCAACACCAGAGATCAAGGCTACACAGCTAGGAAACCATGAGCTCAGTGGGTGACCTGGGGTCAGTCCTTATCCCTCAACTGAACCTACCTCCTGATCTGCTTGGAGAAAGATACAGAAATGCAATTAATCAGTAAATGGGTAAATAAATAAATAAATAAATATTTAGCTCAATCCTACGCACTTAACATTTGGAAGCAACAGTTTATGACCTACTGACAGCCAGGAAGCGTCATTTAAAAAGTTGGACTGGAATCACCAAATCTAACCAACTGTTGTCCTCTCCAGCATAGCTATGATAGTTTATTAAGTGCTTCGGATAATTGTTTCTTTTGAATCAAATGCAAAACTTCAGTCAGTCATTATTCTTAATCTACCCCAGACCTTCAATTTTGGATTGGTAAAGCATGAGAATCATCACTGTGTTTTTTTAAAAAGGGGACTCACTGATATTTTGTCATTCTATCTGATGTTTACCTGTCAACTCATCCATTGCCCTATGCCTTTGAGGTGACTCCTAGTTCCAATGCCGGCAGCCACTTTCACATCCTTTCATCAACGTCATGAACCCACTCTTATCTATACACAGCACTCCTTCCTCTGCAGTCAGTGTGCTTGGTGGCGAGATGCTAAAGCGCTTCCTGTTTTTCTCACATATTGTGTCTTTCATATCAAAAGGGGAGCAACGTGTTCATTAAGCCAATACTTTCATTCCTTGGGTTCTTCTACTTTCTGAAAGACACTGTGGGCACTTTTAGCTGAAAGAGTTCTGAAATGATTTCTTGAGTTTTCCTTTTTCATCCCTCTATTGACAGTATGTCAAAGCAGGGTTTCAGGTACTGGCATCCTTCTGCTTCAGTAATCTGCCAGAGATTAGGCAGGTGGCAACTGGGTACTGGATCTTTTCAAGGGGAATGTCCTTCCCAGAGTCCCCCTTTGTGCTCCAGCTAAGCACCCTTTTATTTTCTCCTGCTTGACTTTTGCTGCTGGTTTTATGATCCCACTTCTTGATTTTATCTCATTCAGCTTTCTTATTATTGAAGGTTGCTTCCTTCCTTGGGCTTTATAGAGATAGGTTGCGTTGGACATTGGCTGGCTGAATGAAGAAGCACAGAGGGCTCCTCTTGGAAAGTGAAGCCTACTGCAATTCCCTTTTCTACACAAACTGTTAAAGGTGCAGGAGCCCTGCCATCTCCATATGGCCACCTTACATGGACATTGGATCAAACAGGCATGAAATGCCATTATTAAATAAACAAAGAGAAGATAAGAAGGTTCCTGCTGGTTCAGATCAAAGGCCAAGTCTAGAATCCTAGTTTGCCACAGCAGCCAATAAGATGTCTCTGGAGATGTCTACAAGCTTGATATATGAGTGCTATCCTGCTTTTGTTCCTCAGCAGCTTGTATTCAAATACTTATGAACTGAGCATGAAAGGAACACATATAGCCACAGTGAACATGTGATAGCCCTAACCTCCATGAATTTCCTCACCCCACCACCTTTTAAGCCAGTTTGTGGACTATAAAGGTAAAGGTAAAGGGACCCCTGACCATTAGGTCCAGTCGTGACCGACTCTGGGGTTGCGGCGCTCATCTCGCTTTATTGGCCGAGGGAGCCGGCGTTTGTCCGCAGACAGCTTCCGGGTCATGTGGCCAGCATGACTAAGCTGCTTCTGGCGAACCAGAGCAGCGCATGGAAACGCCGTTTACCTTCCCGCTGGAGCGGTACCTATTTATCTACTTGCACTTTGATGTGCTTTCAAACTGCTAGGTGGGCAGGAGCTGGGACTGAACAACGGGAGCTCACACCGTCGCAGGGATTCGAACCGCCGACCTTCTGATCGGCAAGTCCTAGGCTCTGCATCTGCAGCGACAGTGAGCAGCAATCATTTATCTATCAACCATAATTTCTTGTACACATCTAGTTCTTTTCCAGTTCATTCCTAGTGGAGATAATTACTATAATCTATACAGTAATTGGTTCATTTAGCCTCAAAATTCTTTTGCTTAATATTCTGACTTGGGATATCCCTAGTTGAGGATGAGATCAATGAAATACATGATTAAAGTTCTGCTAATTTGGCTTTCAGTCAATAGAAAACGTATACATTCATTCTACTCACTGAGCACACCTCCAGATGACCAGATTATTGGGCATTCGTCCCAACTTGTTGGCAGGAAGATTAGACGACACTGGCTATTGAATGAGCATTTATTCTCATTTGCAAGGAAGTTTGATGATGTTGTGGACACTTTCCAATGAATTTCCCTGTCACTTCCCTTATTGCAAAAAGTCCAGTCTTTGGGGGAAGGGAGTTTGTTATGCAGAAGCTCCAAATCATTTTAACTGCGTGACCTGAATTTGTTGGCATGTGGTTGAATCCCACCCAAAAATAGCAACTATTTTGAAGTGCTCTGAGAGGGCATGTCCACACTTCTGCCTGCCCCATGCCTAGAAAGCTTCTCCTGGCATGAGTCCAAGCAGTTTTGTCTTTGTTCTGCCACTTTCCCCTGGAAAAACTGCTCTTTAGTCCTAATTCAGAACAAACATCAATCCAGAGAAAACCTTATTGCTTCGATTCAGTGGTGAAGATTGGGTTTTAGTGGCGGAAAGCAGCGAGGGAAATGCAAGTCTGGATGGGCCCCTTATCTCCTGCAGTCTTTTAGTAAACGGGAAGTGCAAACAAAAGTTGACAGTTTTTCAGAATATTTTTTCTTTTCTTTTTGTTGTAGTATTCCTAAGCTCTCACCATCCAATTCTATGGAAAGCTAGGTAGTGATGGGGATTTGCTTACAGGATTTGTCTCTCTTTGCTGAAGGGATTTAGTAATAAACAGCTAGGCTGCTTATGCAACCAACTGTAATGTGGTTTGATTAGATCAAGGTTTCTGGAAACTAGGACTTGCAGAGCAGCTTATGAAAACAGAATAGATAACATCAGCATGAGAGTCATTTTAACAACCCCAAAATAATAAATAGCATCAATGAATGAACACATGCTCCTAGTGGAAATAGATGGTGCGATACCCATGCACTAAGCAATTATCAGAGTGAAGCTGGTGAGAAAGCTTGCAGAGTCACAGTGGAAGAAGCTATATGATGCTAAACAATGAGCGGTTGTCCACATTTAGTGATTCAGTCCAATGGCAGCATATTCTGTAAATTCCATCTCAGCAGAATGCTCATGTCTCTGAACAGGTTCCCCATAGCTCAGTGTTGCATAAATAAGGGCTTCCTTCTTTTGAGGTAAGAGTTCCTGGGTATTGGAGACACATTCATCACAAGTAGGCTTGGGTGGTGCCCTGGTGGCATTCCAGCAATTGCATTGATTGCCGTAGATGGGATCATCATCTGGAAATGGCAGCACATAAGGCTCAGCAGCTTGATGAAGTGCAGATTTCGTATGGGAGACATTGCTGCACTGGGCATCTGCATTGCTATTAAGCTGTGAGGGAAACAAGAGTACAATAGATTCATGAAAGAGTGCAGTATCTTAATCACATATCTAGCTAGCAAAGACGACAACCATGTCAGATGTGGACAGCTCAAACATCAGTGAAGACGTCGCTTTTCAAGCCTTCATTAAAATCACAGGTTTCTCCCATCCCTGACCCTCCAGACCTTGTTGGGCTGCAACTCCCATCATCCCTGAGCATTGGCCATGTCTGCTGGGGCTGATGGGAGTTGGAGTCCAACAACATTAGCAGGGTAGCAGGTTGGAGAAGCCATTTTTAATTTTAATACCCAGGATAACATCGAAGGCGCCTGGATTACAAGAACTGCAGTTGACACTAATCAGATTATGTATTGTTTTGATGTGACGTTAGACACAAATGAGATGTGGCACTATTCATGTCTTCAGTACTTGCTAAAAAAATCAAATGGTTGATTTTTTAAAAAAATAGTGTGGTAGTGATCAGGGTGAACTAGATTGGGATTGCATGTAGAAGAGGAGTGTTAGTCCTTTGTCCCAAACATAGTCCCATTCCCAATGCAATGGCAGGAAAACTCGAATTGGGAGTCTGTGCTCCCAAAAGAAAGATCAGCCATGCAAAGGCTAAAGTCATGATGCCTCATTTGGACCTCTTCTGAGTCTAGAAAAAGCTGAACTTTGGAGCAAAAAACCCAGCTTTGCACAAAACTAAGAACATTTGCCCATATTTCTCCCTCCCTTCTTCCCTCTGTTGTTTCACACTATCTGGTTAAGGTTATTAGCAACTTGGGAGGCAGAATTTGTCCATGTAGTTCAGTAAGGTGCAATGTCACTGATGGCTAGCATTTAAAACACAACTAAACACCACTTAAGTTGAAGGCTGAGCTTTCTTCCTGTGTTCATGAATGAAAATTGCTTCCTTTAAGTGGCAAAGTCCATGAGGTGAAGGTTTTTATATGTATCTTGAAGGGGTTGGAACATAACACGTTAGCCCTCTCCAGGAAATCGAGCTGTAGCTCCATGGTAGAACATCTGCTTTGCCCATAGAAGATTCCAGCTTCAATTCTTGACATCTCCAGGCAGGACTTGGGAAGAATCCTGCCCCAAATCCTGGAGAGCTATTGCCACTCAGTGCAGGCAATACTGAGCTCAATGGACCAATGGTTTGACTCATGGGGATTGTAGGGATGAGCACCCTAGCTTCACCCCTTCTCATTATTCTCACCTCGTAGTGGTATCCATGTGAATCAGGGAGCCTCCTGTACTTGTGGGGCTCTCCGTGCATTTTAGAACCAAGATTTTCCATGGGTCCAGGAGGCTTGACACAGTCACCCTGCAACTCATGGAGGGAGGTGGGTGATGATTAGGGAGGTAGGGGAAAGCTAGCACACACTTCTCCATGGCCTCAGCTCATGTGGTTACTGTACACAGGGACGGAATGCCTGAAAGGGGCTTATGGGCATTTAAGTACCATACTTGGAAATTCAATACCAGGCTCATCAGTCAAGAAACCTACCACATTCATTTCACTTTGCGAGATTGATGGGCCCTTATTGCTGTTCACTGGAAAGGAAAAGAAAAACACCAGCTATTGATGGAACAACATTTGGATAGTTCATCACATTCATTGTACAAAAACAAGAACGCAGCTTGTGAAAATGCCCTGTCTCATAAAAAGGGGATCAAGGAAATCCTTACCAAATTTTATGGATAGGCCAAAACTGCTATGCTGTTATAATGAAAGTCAGGCAATAAATATTTAAAATAAGTAGCTTTTATCCAAGACTATGAGTTTTGGAAGATAGTCATGGAAGCTGTCCCAAGACACTTTTTTTTAATCCTGAGGTAGAACAGAAATGGGGGTGGTGCCACTTCCCCCCACCCCGGTCAAGGCACATAGTGGTTCCCAAGATTGGTCAACTTATTTTGACCCATAAGGTAGAAACCCCCCACAAACACCCCAAGAATAAAATATAATCATAATAAATTTAGAAGTAGCCATTTGCTGCAGTTCTGTAACACTAAAACTCAACTGCCTCACTCTGCCTGTGGGTAGCTTCAGCCCTGGTAATATGAGAAATGAAAATATATTTGAGTAGCAGAAGTGAGACAGCTGAATATCTCTGCCCAGGGAAAAGAGGGGGAAACTAGAGAGATCTTGAGACAATTCACCTTGATGCTTCCTTATGCAGCACAGCAGGCCCAAGCAGCTCAAAATGAAGAGGCACAGTGGTCCCAGGAATGACAGGAAATAAATAATCAGCTTCATGTCCTTTCCAGCTGCTTCATTATCTTCTGCAGTAGCATTTTCAGATTCTGTTATTTTATTGTGATCTGTTATTATTATTATTATTATTATTATTATTATTATTGCTGCTATAATTACTATTTACATTTGCTATTGTCCTAATGCCAAAGCAATATGTTATATTTCAATATAGCAATGCAATTATTAATCATTAAGCAAATACAAAGAGCTGAGCAGTTAAAATCTCCCCTCAGCCCCCTACCAAAGCAGAATTCACCATCAGTTAACTTAACAGGGGTGAAATAACCAATATGGTAAAAGTTAAACACTGTTTAAAAGTAAGCATTCTCAGAAAGAGAAAGAGCATTCAAAAGTCAATAAAAATAAAAATAGCATGCTTCCTAACAGAAGTAATCTGCTTGATCCAGAATGGTTTCACAAGGGTCATTGACAATACATTATGATCTCTAAATGTTCTTAATGCAATCTAGAAAGCCAGAGAGGCTATAATGAGGGTCAAACTACAGCGTAGGCAGGAGGATCCAGAATTCATCAGTGTTTTTGTAGAGGAGGGCAGAAGATGCTGAAATGAGGCAAATAAGGGCAAATGAGGCACTGCCCCAATAATCTGAGTTTGCTCTCCTCCAGTTCATGCCTGCCTGCCTTCTTACTAACATTCACTCCGGGGTGGCACAGCCCATCATCTTCCTCCTCAGTCTCAATGTAGCTGTTGTTGAACTCAGCAAGGAGGAGGATCCCTGGAGGTGGAAACATTTCACGCTTTCCCCCCATACTGTTTTCATTACCAAAATAGCTCCTTCAACCTGTTATTAGAGCCCTAGTTGCCCAGAGCCCCAGTTGAAAGGATGGGTGTGTCATGGAACTGCATGCTGGGTAGCCGCCGACACACCATCTCTGCGTTTGGAGCATGTCAGAAGAGCCTCTACAAGCAGACCAATATACAGTACATGCGTAGAACTTCATGAGGAGGGAAGCCATGACCTAGTCAGGGTTCTCTCTTACTCAGAGACACACTTCAAAAGGATGGATGACAGGAAGAAGAAGAAGAGTTTAGATTAGATATTCCGCTCTATCGGCTAACAATCTCCGTTCCCTTCCTCCCCCACAACATACACTCTGTGAGGTGAGTAAGGCTGAAAGACTTCAGAGAAGTGTGACTAGCCCAAGGTCACCCAGCAGCTGCATGTGGAGGTGCGGAGATGCAAACCTGGTTCACCAGATTACAAGTCCACGGCTCTTAACCACTATACCACACTGGCTCATTTCCACTGGGCACAACAGCAGCAGGGGATGGGCTAGCTCACTCAGCCCCCATTCACTTTCAATACTTGGGAGGAGGATCATGTGAAACACCCCCCCCCACACACACACACCCGTCCAAGTGTTTGGGTGCATGGAGGGAAGCAGTTTTATAGAGTACAAGTAGAGACTTGAAACTCAGCCTCAAAGTAAACCTGATATTAAACTTATCTGTGAATCCTTTGCTTGAGATTCTCTTTTTTCTTTCTTTCATAAAACAAACTAATAGCAGTCATGAGGGTGGGGTGAGGGAGCAGGTGTTAATTCTGGTTGGGAAAGTAGCAGGGTAGGAGAGTATTGACCTCTCCTTGTGTGCCACACGATGGCATTACCTGTGCCATCCTTCCATTGCCTCCCTGAAATTGCTCTTTGCATCAGATAGCAACATTGGGGTGAATTAACAGTTTGGGAGAGAGATAATTTTCAGTAGGAAAACATCATGGGGGAGAAGTTGGATAAACCCTAACCCTAGCCCTTTCTTCAGTTTTGATGCAGATGTTGTTGGGATGGGGCTTATGACTATTTTTAGGTTTTTGTGTGTTTTTTAAAGAGAGAAGTACTGTATCCCAACTATGTGTGTCAAAAGTCACATTTAGCTCAACCCTTAGAGAACTGAAACTAAGGTAAGTCAATTTGAGATCAGCTATAGCAGGGGTCAGCAAACTTTTTCAGCAGGAGGCCTGTCCACTGTCCCTCAGACCTTGTGCAGGGGCCGGACTATATTTTGAAGGAAGAAAAAAAATGAATTCCTATGCCCCACAAATAACCCAGAGATGCATTTTAAATAAAAGGACACATTCTACTCATGTTAAAACATGCTGATTCCTGGACCGTCCACAGGCCGATTTAGAAGGTGATTGGTCCAGATCTGGCCCCCGGGCCTTCGTTTGCCTACCCATGCACTATAGTAAGAGTTGCACAGCCTTAGGTGTGCTTGTTTCGTATTTCAGCCTCTTGTGGGATTTTTATTTTGTAAAGGTTTCAGCATTTCAATTTTATACAGGCCATTTATTAAGCTCAAATGTAAGTCCTGGGCAATGTGACCCTCTTGATGAATTTACATACACAGAAAGTCCAAATACCAATTTGAGTCATTTAGATGTTACAACATGGGCTGTTTGGCACTCTGTACAGGTTTCATTTCTTTGCACTACTAGACAGCCTATTTTTTGTGAGATGACTGATAAGGCTACCGCTCTACACATTGTTTGCAAATAAGGGAGCCGTGATGTCTTTGATGTGTGATGAACATTTTGTAACTGCAGCACTTGGGTTTAACTGTTTTCTGCAATGAACCCCATCAAGATTTGGAAAACTGAAATACCGCAAAGCAAGGAACAAATGAGCAACTCTTAGCCAACGTTCACACCATATATTTAAATCACTATGATACCACTTTAAACAAACAGGACTTCCCCCAAAAAAGAATTCTGGGAGATATACCCAGTGCTTTTTTCTGGGGGGATGCAGGGGGACGCATACCCCTAAACATTTTGTGAATCTACCCCTAAACATTTTTTAAGAAAAAAAAGCACTGGATATACCTTTCTCCATGCACGGCCTTCAAGACATCTTACAAGTAAAACATTTATGTATACTGCTATTATTTATTAAATTTGTATACTTCCCATCATCTGAAGATCACAGGGTGGTTCACAACATAAAAAGAAAAACACAAAATACATACTAAAACAAAAGCAAAGGAATAACCCCCCTCTCCCAAACATGTTTTAAAGGACATAGAATGTTAATCAGCCAAAGGCCTGCTTTATAGAGAAATGTTTTTCCCTGGCGCCTAAAGATATGTAATGAAGGCGCCAGGTGAGCCTTCTTGAGGAGAGCATTCCACAAACAAGGAGCCACCACAGAAAAGGCACGTTCTTGTGTTGCTGCCCTCTGGAACTCTCACATAGAAGGTACATGAAGAAGGGCCTCAGATGATGATCACAGGGTCTGAATCGCTTCATATGGGGAGAGGCGGTCCTTGAGGTGATGATGATGCACCCTTCATAACTAAGTCCCACGGCAGGTTGCAACAATTTAAAACACATCATTAGAAGCAGTTTAATGCACATGACAAACTTAGGTCTATTCATTTCAGTGGGTTTACTCCGAGTATAACTCAGTTGGAAACAAGTCCCTTTTCTAATAGCAGTCACACACTTCACTATAGATTATGCTGCCTCCCCGGGCTCACAGTGTCATCAGAAGACTTCAGCTTGTTGTCTGTTCCAGCTCTACAGTTCTATGATTCTATGACCAAGAGAGAAGTGCTGGATTGGGGGAGTTTGCGCAGAAGGGGGCAGATGCCCTTGTGGCAGTTTTGGAGTGGTGGCAAATTACAGGCTTTCTCCTGAGCATGTCCCTGTGTATGTGCCCCTATCCAACTTTGCCTTGCTCCAAAGGGGAAGAGAAATTCAAAGTATCAGTGTGGGGTGGCCTTTCTAAGCCTCCCATGCCCTCCATTCAAGCCCCACCTGAACCAGAACTTGAAAAGATGGATTCAGGGAGGCTCAGGAAACCATGTTGAAAGGATCAATTTTCAAGTACCCCCCCAACTCCTTTGAAGCTCAGCTGGATTTCCAAGCCTCCCTTATGCCTTGGAGAGCTCACCTGCTGCTGATCCTTTCAATCTCCAATTTCAAATCACTCTCTTCATCCTTCTCAACTGCTGCCACTGGGCTAAACATGCTGAGATGGAGAAGCGGGGCAGCAGTGCAGACCATTGTTGCCTATTGCAAAATTTGTAGATCCAGCATTGTAAGAGAGGCAGAGCGTGCAACATGGCTGGGCCTTTTGACAGTTGGCTTTCTATACTGTACTAAAGAGTGCTGCACACAGATAAGAGGAAAGGGTTAGCCTGCAGCATCCCAGAGGTGCTTAGAGAAGAGGAAATAAAATCAATGTACAGTTGAAACCTTGATTGTGTTGATGTGCATTTCTTGAGCAGAGCAAGAACATAAACAAATGACCGCAGGGCTATAAGCACCAGGCAACTGACCAGGAGGCTGACTGAATTGCCCATAGGCTTGTTGCTGAAAACAATGAATTGGGAAAAAGGCCCTCATTCTTGGAATTGCTTATGATGCTTACCTTGTACAATGACTTGTATTTCATGACCTGGGAGTATGCTTTCCCCCATAGTAGCTCGACACTGATAGCGTCCACTGTCATTCTTAGAAATAGGCAAAAATTCCAAAACAAAATCATGGCCTTTCCAAAAAATATTGTGTCTTTGTCCTTGAGGCAGAATTTCACTGTTCCTGTACCAATTTATCGTAAGATTCTCTTGGCAATCCATCACTGGGCACTTTATACTGAATGAAACACCAGCATTTATCGTGTAGTTGGTTCCCCTTCGGACAGAAATAGTGCAGTTTTCATTCCCTGGAAGAAAAATGTGGGGTGGAAATTACGCCTGACACACCTCAGATATTTTTGCATTGTTAGCAATAATCATTTCATTGGCGTCTTGTTGGTTTTCCCATCCATGCAATACCTTTCTACAGGCAATGCTTTAGATGAGAAGAGCTGATTGGCAAGCTAATATGACATAAAATATTGACATCAGTCATCTGTTATTGGTTTAATCACAGCCAAGATATTTATAAATTATTATTATTATTGTTTTTAGTATATTTATTTCTATCCCTTTACCCCAGACTGGAACTCATGGCGGCTTACAGATAAACCAGAACAAGCTTAAAAACAAAGAAAAGACAATTATTTAAAAGGTAATTAAACACTAACAGAATCAAAATGCTATAAAAAGAACCATTAAAAACATAAACAATAACTACACATCCCAACAACACCCCTTTCCTAAAAAAAAGAACAGTCAGTTCCCAAAGGCCTGTTGGAAGAAGTCTTCACCTGCCAGCAGAAGGACAGCAATGACACAGCCAATCTAACTTCTTTAAGGAGGGAGTTCCAAAGTCTGGGAGCAGACACCATGTGGGTGGTGGGACCAAGAGAGTTCAGAGCCTGGACAGGTTTGTATCAGGGAATGTGGTATTTCAGAAACCTGGACCTTGGCATCAGAAGTCTGTCATCAGAAGTCTGGGTGGTCAAACAGTTACTTCTTGCTAAGCCCTATTATTCTTCCTGGACACTGAGGTCCAGCTCCGAGGGCCTTCTGGAAGTTCCCTGATTGCGAGAAGTGACATTACAGGGAACCAGACAGAGGGCATTCTAGGTAGTGACGCCCGCCCTGTGGAAAGCCCTCCCATCAGATGTCAAGGAAATAAACAACTATCTGACTATTAGAAGACATCTGAAGGCAGCCCTGTTTAGGGTAGTTTTTCATGTTTGATGTTTTATAGTGTTTTTAATATTCTGTTGGGAGCCGCCCAGAGTGGCTGGGGAAACCCTGCCAGATGGGCGGGGTTCTATAATCTATCTATCTATCTATCTATCTATCTATCTATCTATCGTATATATTTCAAAATCATGTTGAAAGTTTTGGGCTGGTGCAGCTAACTTCCATCAACCCCAGGAATTCACAGCCTACCAGGACACTTCCTGCACCCTTCAAACCCAGCAGCTTCATCTCCCTTACCAATGGTAGCCCTTCTTCAATGCCTACTGTGGTCAATGGGGCAGTAGGCATGGGGGAGGGGATTTGATTCCGTTTGCATTTAAAGGTGAACCTACCTAATTTGCACAGCATGCAAACTGAAACACAGCCAACATCCTAAATTCAAATTTCTCCAAATTTTGCAGCACAGTTCTCCAGTCAAATAATGTGAGCAAAATTGCATATAGAGTGGTACCTCGGGTTACATACGCTTCAGGTTACAGACTCCGCTAACCTAGAAATAGTACTTCAGGTTAAGAACTTTGCTTCAGGATGAGAACAGAAATCGTGCTCCGGCGGCGCGGCAGCAGCAGGAGGCCCCATTAGCTAAAATGGTGATTCAGGTTAAGAACAGTTTCAGGTTAAGTACGGACCTCCGGAACGAATTAAGTACCGTATTTTTCGCTCTATAACACGCACCCGACCATAACACGCACATAGTTTTTAGAGGAGGAAAACAAGAAAAAAAAATATTCTAAACGAAACAGTGGATGTATGATTTTTGTGGTTCATGCTGTGGCCACAGACATGTGATCTAATGGTGAGTTTGGAGTAGCCGAATGCAAAAATCCTGAGGATCCATGTGGATCCATGCTTTGTAACCACGTTTTTGCACCACTGCGGCCCCAGGCAACAGTGGGTGTGTGATTTTTTTGGTGCAAGCTATAGCCATGGTCATGCTATGTGATCTGATGGTGAATTTGGGGTGACCCAGTGCAAAAATCCTGAGGATCCATGTGGATCCATGCTTTGTAACAGGCTCTCTGTCCCTCTCTTCTCCCCACTCAGCAGCTCTTCTCCCGCTTTGCTGTTTCAAAGCAAGCAAAGCGAGCCACGAAGGAGGGAAGGAAGGGGAACCATGGATCCTCTGCTCACGACTGCAGCAGATCCCCCCGCCATCCGTAGGCATTCGCTCCATAACATGCACAGACATTTCCCCTTACTTTCTAGGAGGAAAAAAGTGAGTGTTATGGAGCAAAAAATACGGTACTTAACCCGAGGTACCACTGTACCAGGGCAAAGTGTGCATAAGAATGTATACATCAGTGAAAATAACACAAGGAAACGTGTTCTATTCGGGGAAATTTACTTTGCAGAAATGTGTACATTAGGCACAGGCAAAAGTGGGCATATTATGAGAAATTTGCACTAAAATGCTGATGGATTTATATGGCGACTTAAAAAAAAAACATATCATGAACTAATGCAGTATGCTAAATTTCAGATTGGAAAAATGAGGAAACTGATTCACCTACCCCATTCTGACCAGTGACCACAAGGCAACTTCAGCTACAGAAGGTGGAAATGGAACTAGGTGTGTGGCTGAAATTTGAGAACAAGGACTTGTGTGGGGCTTATGTAAATCTGTGGTTTTAGGAGGAAAGCAGATGTAGCAGGCTGCAGCCAGTTTGCCACAAAAAGTGGTAGAAAAGAGTGCTGTTTGGTTGCCTGGGTCAAGTAGGCATAAATGGAATGACACGGTGCGGTTCAATCACTTGATCTGATTTACGAAGTTCAGGCGTTTTAAAAGCCACAACAATATCCTCATGTAAGTCTTGTTCCCCTCCCCACATCTGAATAGAAGAATCTACAATCAAGACCCAAGCACTCTCCCCTCCTATGGTTTCCAGCAAATGGTGGAATTGCTGTCTCTGACCTTGAAGGCAGAACACAGCCATCATGGCTGGTAGCCATCAACAGACTTAGCCTCCAAAACACAAAATTCGTGACGAGGTCGATTGCTGCCCGAAGGTGAGTGCCACTGGTTTCCTAAAATTCACGAAAGACTCTTCAACATCCAGCAGTCCAAATCCTTCAGTTGTGGATGATATGGTATGAGACCACTTGCAAATTTGAAAGGCACGCAAGCATGTGCACACACACACACACACACACACACACACACACAGAGAGACAGAGAGAGAGAGGAATGATGCAAAAACATTTCTTTTAAATCTTGGGAACTGAAGAACTAGGGCACACTTCTCTTTGGTACTTTGAGAAACACACATTTGCTGGTTTAACGTGTAGTTTCATACTTGAATATGCACTGCTGAATACAAAAGAAAGTGTTAATCAACCTGGCATTACTTTATTTATTTGCTATATTTGTGTCCTACCTTTCCTCCAAGTTGCTCAAGGCAGCATAGATGATTTTCCCTGTCTCCATTTTCCCATCGCAATGACGCTTTCATGTAGGGTTAGGCTGAGAGATAGTGACTGGCTCTCCCATGATCACTGACACCCAGCGGGCAACACCAGTGGGGGGATTTGAACCTGGGTCTCCCTGATCCTAGTCCAACACTATACCCACCTACACCACAGAACAGCCTTTGGTGATAGAGAGCCATTTCACATGTTCTAACGTTTTATTATTCATTGAAGATAAAGTGCTCTGTAAAATGTTTAAAATAAATAAGTAATGTTCCAGGAAAGACAAGCTCCCATTTGTCTGCTCACAGTGGCCATAAAAACATATGGAGGTAAGGTGAAGGTATCTACGAGATGTTTCCAAACATTTGTCTCTCCTCTGCATGGTACAATGGCTGCCACAGTCAAATCATTTCCTGTAAAACATTAGTTGTTTTGCTTCTTTACCTTGAGTTCCAGACTGATTAAAAGCAATAAAATACTGATGCATTTATCAGTCACTTTATTGCAGAGAGAGGATTTCAGAATATTATGCTCTGATTGTTAGAAGCTTTCTCTCTGACCTAAACTCTTATTCTTGGGTAGTTTTATAGTGTGGGTACCTGCAACCTTCCAGCATTGTTAGGCCTCCAATCTCCTCAACAATCAGCCATATTAATTTGCCCTCTGCACTGTATTGTCATATTGCCACTCATTCTCCTGTTTTTTAAACTGGAATGAACAGGATTAGTCATTTCAGCCTGTTTTCATTATATAATGTCTCCATCCTGCTAACGCTCTGCTTGCTCTTCTCTGATACTGCACCCATTATTATATGGAAGACACCAATTCACATATGAAGGGTGGCTGTAATTATTCAGTGAAGAAGAGAAACTTCAGCCCCAATAGAGATATATAGGGTTCGAATATAGATTAATAGTGGCTTCTCTGTTAGGACTGAAGCCTGGTGTGAAATATTCAAAGGATGAGAATAAGGCCCATTATTGTATTATTTAACCTAATTTGAGCTGTAGCCTGAACTTAACAGTTATGTCTAGCCACCTGAAAACATTTAGAAATCAAGGTTTCACACACGTTTCACTGGCATTCAGATAGATACGGCCATATCTTACCATGTGCCCACGTATTCTCCAGCGTCAGCATCAGAAAGAGGGAGCGCATTGCAAAGCTACCTGCGTACATGGCCTGGAATGTAGCTTCACTTCATAGTCATCATGGAAAAGAAAGCTGATCCGTCGGGATGAAACTGTTTTTCTGGTGCAGTTTCAGCAGCTTCTTAATTCGGCTTGTGGAGGCTCATGTAGAAACACTTCAGTTACCTCAAGAAAGTGAGCCAGACTGGAGGCGTGAGGGGATGTGAAAGAGCTCTGCCACGCTCACAACAAATCAAATTTGCTCACCGTAGAACTTCCTGCAGCCGCTGCTGGTTTCCAAAGCCTCTTGCCTCCAAAACCAGACAGAATGAAAGGGGGGGGGTTGTGTGTGGGGTTTTTTTGCACCTTGAAAGAAGAACTGGTGGATGGAAACAAAAATGAAATCAGCAGAACATTTTTCAAACAGCAGCTTCAATTTTTTTAAAAGCATTTGAAAAAGTAAACATTTTTTGAAAAAATAAAGAATTGTTGCAGCACCTCATTTGGATGTCTTCTTTTGGAAATTCATGTCACTCCTTCTAAGAGCGAACTCATGTGCTGAGTGCCAACGAAGTTGTAACCAAAATGGGAGAGCAGTGCTATTTTTCTAGAAAAAGAGGTGCTGGAACTCCCCACAAATGCCTCCCTCGTTCTCTTATAATGGCCATGGCGCCCACCTGAGAGGTGCCAGAACTGAATTCCGGCTGAAGAAAAAGCCCTGTAGAATCAGCATGCTCAGTGGGAACTCTGAATTTTGCAGAGGGGCAACAAATAAAAATACTCACACCACTGGGACAACCCTCCCTCCAAGAACCTTCACGTCAACCCTATGAGGACTGCACATGCTCAGTAGCCATGGAGTGGTGGCAAGCAGTTGCAGAATGGCTTGATGAAGGAGGGCCTGGCTGGCACCCTGAGCAGGAATACCTGTGTTAGGAAATAAGAATATGCTGCAACATTTTGTTGCCCCTGCCACTTGTACACATAACAACATGACTGAACAGAATTTCATAACACAGATCACTTATGGATATTAATGATAGATAGATGATATACTTTTGCATTTTTGTTAAGACAGAGGGAGTTAAGAGATCGTTTCTCTCACCACTGTTAATGCCAGTGAGGTTTCCTCTAATTTTGCCAAGCCAAATTAATATTTTGGGCTAATGCAGATGATGTCCTTCAGCAATGCTTGAGACTATAAGGAAAAGGCTGCAGAAATCTGGGACAGCTGTAGGAGGAAATTTCTATGTCCACAGCCTGCTCCTGATTTCTTTAATATATAGGAAGTTTTGTGGGCAAGAAGGGTCCTTTAATCAGGTTGAAAAATCTTTTCTATTTGTTATTTTAGAAGTTTGCTCACTTAGCTTATCATTGTCTCACATGCAAGAGACATCTGATAACCCGTGGGCTTATTCTGCAAAGGTATCCCAACTATGAAATGCCCTCCCCCTTGGCATACAATTGGCACCAGCTCTGATGAATCTTTGGTGCCATTTGAAAACTCTCCTATTTCAGCAGGCTTTTATGAGAGCTTAGTTACCTTGGACTGGTTTTGGTCCTTCTTGCTGCTATTGAGACTGTTGTGATTTTATCTGCTGCTCTTATTTCTAATTGTGTTTGTCTCCAGACAGATCCACTTGCTTTCAGCTAAAGGTGACATTCCAGAATTTTTGTTGTCAAAAGGATAAAATTATTTCATAGGCCAGCAGTGCTGTCATAACGTCGTCAAAATAGCTACACCTTTACATTAGTCCACTGCGCTGTACAAGAAATAAATTATTCTGGAACCGCCAGGAATGAGAAACCCGAGCCCCGGATTTTTATCCAGGTGTTTTCTTCTCCTGGGTATTTGGATAAAACAGGCTTTCCCCAATGTGGAGCCCTCCAGACATTGTTGGTTTCTTATCTCCCATCAGTCCTAGCCAATACGGCCAACAATCGAGGAGGGTGCGAACTGGAATCCAACATTTGAAGTCCCATAGGCTCATTATCACTGACTGAAATGATTCTTTTCAAATAAGGAAGCAAAGCCTTTATTTTAGATAATGATTATGCTACAATATAACACACTGACACATTTTTAGGTGCAATCCTAAACTCTAAGCAGGGCATCATGGAGTGCCAACTCGACACTCCCAGTGCTCACACCAACCTGGGTGGAATGTGGAGTGGCAAGCAAAAACACCCCTTTGCTCTGCTAGCAGCCAGGCTGGTGCAGCAAAGAGGATTAGATTCTCTCCAATGTCTTGACGTGAGGGTGGCAAGATCTCAGGAGAATCTAGTGGATCTGGGCCAGGCCAGGCCTGCTTCCCCAAAACACGTCAAGGCTTTCTGCGAGTGGGCTGTTAGTGGTAACATCTGCCTGTTGTTTGGGTAGGCACATTGGGGGCCCCCTGTCAGTAGAGGCTAGCAGAGCTAGGAAGGGCTAGGAAGAGGGACATCTCAGCTGCACCCAAACCCCAGGTAGCATGGCGGCCTGGATTGCTCTATTTTGCCAAAAGAAATAACAGAAAGGGGGAAACTAAAAGTAGTCAGTGCCACCTCTCTATCTGGCAGTTCTGCTATGTATCTTTTGCTGTTCAAATATGACCTTGCTGCCATTGTTTTAAAACTCTTTATTTTGTAAAGTTAACACAGAACTTTAAAAACATAAAGACAATGAATATTCAACATGCATAAGCAAACAAAAAATATCCTAGCAGCAAATTCAAAGATGGAACAGTAAAAAGGGATAGCAAGATTATCCATACAATATATATCTATAAATAAATGGTAATGGTTAGCACACTGTTATTTTGTTCCTTATTTCACTCAAGGAAAAAAAGTTATAATGGAGACACAAAATCAGTTTAACTACGTCACTATCTATCTTTGCATGGTTGTAATAGACTATTTTTTATTTATTTAAAAAAACCCTTAGGGAGTTAGGGATTTTTGAGTAGCGTAAGAACATATCCTAGTTGGCAGAAACTATTTTTGCCATCTCTTGTAAACTGGACAGGTTAGTTCCATTATAACAATCAATATAAAAACCTGAACTTTTAACTTCATAAAAATGCAGGTTTGGAAATTTGGTGGGAGCCAGTTTTCAAAAGACAATTAGGTATGTCTTGACAAGTATATGAAGAACAGTAACACCTTGGTTTGTATTCAAACTTACAGGGCAGTCCAATGCATTTCTACTCAATATATTGCTCCACTGAGTTAAGTGTGAAAAGTTAATCATGACTTAAGTTCCATTAACCTCAACAGGAACTAAATGCAACTAATTTAGGTTGTTCTCTAATGCACACTTACTTGAGAGTAAGCCCAATGGGACTCACTTCTGAGTAGACATGCATAGGATTGAGCTTTCGGCTTGGATCCAACCCATTATTAGCGGCGTCCTTCATCCCCAACCCAATCTGGATGGTTTGTACAACGTTAACATCTGATTGTGAAGGATGCTTCAGTAAATGTATGCTCTTTCTCAACCAGATACTCATTTTAGAATTAAGAAAGTTTGAAACATTTCTGTCTCACAAAAGTAGAAGTCTTGTGTTCAATGGAGTCTAGAACAACAAAAATTGATGTATTTGAAGTTTCTGCTCTATGTCAATTGAGAACATATGAGCAGCCAAATCCTATACTTGGAAGCAAGTCCCATGAATTCAACATGACTTATGTTGAAGTACGCATGTACAGGACTGTGGCTTTCAATAGCTATTCAAAAGCCAAATCATGTTTAGGCAACTACTCAGACCAATCTGTAAAACATTAAGTTATATTCCTTTGGCTAGGTTGCTACTAGTTACTTATTTCAGTTCTAATTTTTACATGCACAAATGACACGAAAATAACGTGCGCAAAGGTAAACTATCTATTTTATGCTTACAGAAGTCTGGCTTTCAACAATTCTTTTCATTGGTACGGTCAAAATAGTGATTTAATATCCTAAAGAAAAGGAATCTAATGTTACTTGTTTCCATGATTTGTACCAGTCATCTGAGTTAATGGCATCATGGTGCAGCTTCCATTCTTCTGCATAGCACACTTACGCACGGCCTTTTCACTTAAAACATAATGGGCCAAACAAGAACTGTTTAACTGAACGGTAGCCAACCAAATGTTGGTGGACTACAACTCCCATAATCTCTGAACCTTAAACCATTGAGGGTTGGTGGGAGTTGGAACCCAACAACATCTTGAGGGAACCAAGTTAGGACAGGGGTAGTTAATGTATTTTGTGGTGAGATGTGTAAGTTTCAGAAGCACAAGGCGATTCATGGATCACCACTCTGCACATTAATTGAAAGGGTGAAAAGAAAGTGTGCAAATGCACACATACCGCCTCCCCCGCTCTTTGCTGACATTTCCTTGTGATTGATGAGGCTGCTCTACAAATAGAAGAACCAAAGCAATACAAATATCCCAGGAGTACAACACATGCATTTCCCACTGCCATGCGCAATGGGCACCTACTCCCTTTCTGACATCATATAAAGGAAGCTTGTAGTTGAAGATGACAGGGAAGTACACATATATTGATGCCACAGGATTCCAATTCACTAGAATTAGTAGATAAGCAAAATAAAATAAAATAAAAATAGGTTGGGTTTTTTTTTTGTAGGGAACTACCCACTTGCTCCAGCATTCCTCTCTGACAAAGGCAGATTACTGTTTAATGTTTATTTTTTAAAAAATATAAGGTATCTGAAATTAAATGAGATAAATTTTCAACAGAATATCTGCTATGGACCCAAACAGGGCATTTTTCTACTCCCAATTCATTATTATGAGCTTTCTTCATGGGCAAGAAAGCTGATCTAATCTTAAACCTTGACAATGGCCTGCCTATGAAACTGATGCACCAGTGTCACCCAGTCCAATAGAGTAACACATTTCTTTTTACTGCTGCACTGGAGTACTGCATCTCTGCACTTGAGAACTATTGTGCAGGAAGTCTATACTGGAACACACATTCTGTGTGCCAGTAACTGTTTTTCATTCTGGAACTGAATATTAAGGCTGTGATCCTTTGTTCAGCTACGAGTTAATTAAGCTTAGGGCTGATTAGGTTCAGCCCAAGAAAGAAAACCCCAATATTTTCCTCCATGCTACAGATGTAACATTAGGAGCAATACATGGAGTTCTATTGGATTTTTTAAACAAAAAATCAGAGTACTTTGGCAACAACTGCAGTGGCAGGAAAAAAACAGAAAAGGGAAAAGGAAGGTGGGGTGGGGGACACACAGAAGCTCCTCCCCAAATATATGGAAACCTATAAAAGATGCCACCTATGCAATTTCATACAAATATGAGAGCAAAAAAATTGGAATAAATATGAAATATACTGTTTTTCGTAAGCCAAGCTGTCCAGATCCTGGGCTACGTTCACCAATGTCAAGCTCAACGTGGCATTACAGATTTTGGATAATCTCCAACATAAAGAGTATATACCTACTAGAGTAACTTGGCTCCATTGATTTCAATGGGTCTACCTTGATGATCACTCGCTTCCTCATACTCTATGCAACTTTTCAATGCAATATTGCCTGTGTGACTGCGTCAAAACCTTCCAGTGAATCTGCATGTTCCTTAAACTGCTTTTTCTGCTCTCTTATCTGTTTTAGTCCAAGAAAAGAGGGGAAAGTGTGGGGAAAGAAATGGACCCATCATCTGACTCCAACCAGATGTCTATGGTGAAGTTTCCCATTCTTTTCTATTTGATTTGGGCTTTGGATGTTAATTAATAATAATAATAATAAAAAAAAACAGGCCAGAAATAAGAAGCTACTTTGCTTCCTTTGCAATTCCACCAAGAAAAAGTAAAATGTCTGGGGCATGATGCTTTTAAAAGTTATGCATTTAAAAACTCAATCAATAGAAAAGACAGTTATGGTAAACTCTCCCATTCTAATCAATGGGAACCAAAAGTGCTTAACTGTGGTAGGATCAGGAATTGCTGTTAGCTAATGCATGAAGAAATATTTTAGTCATGAATTACAAATTCCTAATAATGCTTTGCTCCTTGGAAAACATTTCATAAAGAAAAAGACAACAGACAGTGAAGCAAAAGGTATCAGTAACTCTAGGAATTCTAAACTGTGCAAAGTTCAAAAACATGAGATATTAACGTAGATTAAAACACACACACCCAACCACCTATTTGAGCCAGCTTTGAAATTAAACAGGGAGCAATGGAAATGCACATTAGACAACTTCTCTTTATATCCATTATTTGCAAAACACTGCCATCTATAGGCAGCTAACTGCGTAACTTTACTCTTACAGTCCTGCAGCTTTCCTCTGATCTGTAGTATAATTAGGGAGGTGGGAAAATTGCTCCTTTAATTCTGTGGAGTATGTCATATACTCTTGCTTTCAGGACTGTGTACCCAAAAGGGATGCTCAGCAGAATGAGCATCCAACAGTAGATGCTACCCTTGGCTTTCAATGGGATGCGCATCTACATCCTTTCAACCCTCAACAGCTATGCAAGAGTTTGCACATCCAGCCACCAGTTAAAAACTTCTGCATCCAACAGAATGTAAATCACATAAAATGAGACAGAAAGTGGGTTCAGGATAATAGCGCAAACCAGAAAAATGGAAACAATAGCATTGGAAATCAAGCCTGCAGGATTGCTTTGGCATCCCTAAGTATAGCTATGCTGGAGATAAATTTATGCTGAAAATATGGGGCACGCATATTGGGCATATATGAATACATGTTAAAGCCAGAAATTAGACTATTGAGTTTGACCATGCCTAATTTGATCATTTGCAATTATCAGGTAATTCAGGAGGATGAAAAGCGAGCAAAGGAATTTTTCTACAATAATGATTTAGCACTGGACTGTACAAACTCAGCAACATGGCACCTTTCTGCCATTTCCCCCCATTCCCACCCCCTTTCTCAAGGAGCTCAACAACATTTTAGATCCAAACTCTTGTAATACTAGAGTCACCAACAATTTGTTGCACACCGTTGCGTTTTGCAATAGATTGTCATTTTACAATACAAAAACCATTACGTAACATTGCATGTGCATGAATATAAAAATAAACCACGTCACTGCTATGCAACTGTTAATACTCCACACTTAGAACCAAGTGGCCTCCTCCACTCAGTGGTCTTCAGACTTGAGAAGCTGGTGTGAATACCCATCAGGCAAGTAGGTTTTTCTTAGCTGGTCTGCCTTGGGTATGGAGTTCCCATTCTTCACGTGGCGAGAGAGGAAAGCTCGCACAGCTGGGTGATCAGCCTTCTCGAGGGGAATGCTAGCTTCCAGAAACATTTTTACAAAGTCCTGGACGACACCGGGCTTCTCTGTCGGGGCTGCGCTGTTGCACTGCAAAGAGGCAGTCAGAGTTCGCGGTTTCTTCCTGACCGTTTGCTCCTCAAACTCCCCCTTGCGTTTGGTGTGCGTTTTGGATTTGAGATGGTCATTGATGGCCGACTTGCGAACATGATTCAGGACCACATTGCAGAACGTGCAGTACAGTTTCCCCCCGTCTTCATACAGTTCGCTGCCAAATTCAGTAACGCGATCCTGAGGAGTCACATACAAAGCGGTTTTAGAACGGCTCCGGGAGGGAGGTGGCTTCACGTCAAATCGTTCCATTGCAGTCTTCAGTAAACTGATCTTAAAACAAACAAAAAACAAGAAAGAGTATTACATTTATGTTCACTCTGTGCAGTCTCCAGTAAACAGCGGGATTTGTTTACTTGGGTATAGCTGAATACCAGAATGTTCAGTCACCAAAACGTTCCTACACCAAGAGATACAAATGCCGATTTCTCTACTAGTTGACTGCAGGCAAAAATGTTGTACTCTGTACAAAATGATTATACCATGCTGTGACATTTGTAAACAACAGCAAAATTATTATGGGAAGGTTGTTTTAAAGAAAATGGGCTGTATGCATCTAAATAGTTCCACTAGCGCACCGACTTTTAACTACACAACAGAACTTCACACAGTCTCCTCTCCCTGTGCTCCTCCTAAATCTGTTTCAGGTTTTCCAACCCTCCGGAGCAGAATTATAGGGTGAACAGGAAGAGGAGAGGGCAGAGAAATTACATTGCACAGTCAGAAGTCTTGCACTAAAGGGCCTATTTAGCTGGATACTGCCCTATGTTTATGTTAGAGACAGACATGTGTAAGTCACATGTTGGCCCCTGGCACTGATGACTGGCCCAAGGTTCTTGTTAAAATAGTTTTCATGATTTTTTAAAATAGGCTTGGGAGATGTAGCATATAAATTAAAAGCATATAAATTATATTTTTTTGGAACAAACATTACTGCAATGTACAGTAATTTGCAGCTATCTTGTCCATGAATATGATGCATACTTCCATTATTTGTAGCTAAAGTTATGAACATCAGCTGCAATTCCCAGTGAAAAACGTACTTCCATGGTGTTATCACTGCTCTATCAGGTGCTCCAGTTCCACACACGGCTCAGGTTTGTTACGGAGAGGCTAACTTTCACAGAATTATAACTGGGAACCTAAACTAACTGAAGAAGCTTAAATCCAACTCCTGCTTCCATCTGCAGTTGAGAAAGAAAAGGGCACGTCACAGTACTTTAAAACATTTGAATGAAATGGCTTGCATAGCATTTTACTTCCACCAGCATGACACTTTTCGATAACTCTAACACTTATGGTCGCAGTTCAATTTTATTTTTATTTTTTTTACATTGCTGGCCTTATGGTTGTTGCATTGATTTGTATATTTGAATATACCATCCTAAGAATCTTCCCAGCTGAAATGTGGAATACCAACAATAACCACCTTCATGGCAAACATGTGCGCTTCAACCAGATCTTATTATTTTTATGATAAATGGTTTGTACATAATACAAATAGTGCTTGATTTTATACAGGTAAATGTCAGATATATTAAGGTAATATTAACAGTGAAGTATATAGCCTCACTGCTTATTCCAGTGCAAAACTGAGTGGAAAAAAGATTTATTCAGATAAAACTAAATAGATTTAGTTTCAAAATATTACTTAGATATATGTTTTTATATATTTGTAGATTGCCCTGATGATTGAACTTCTTGTTTCCAAAACACCTCAGACAACAATGGAATATTTTTGGCGCTTTTCTTTGTGGTTTATTCCTGCATTCACTATCTCTCCCCATTTTTATTTTGGTTTTGAGTCTTAAGGGAAGGAAATGCAGAAATGCCTTAAAGCATGTTGATAGTGGGCAGAATCAAAGTATAACATCCAGCCCATTCAGATGGATTAGAATTCAACCCACAGCACCATAAAGTAGGCAGACATTTTCAGTATTTAGGGACATTCCTACAGTGCTCTGAAAACCCAACCTGATTTTTGCTATGATTTCAGAAAAGCAGCAGTACTGCTGCTAAGCAGAAACACATTTCTCCAGTATGAACAATTACTAAATGAATATTGCAAAATTCCCAATTATGATCAATTATACAACTTGCATTTTGGATTTATGTTATCACAGTCAGTACAATTTGATGCAGGTATATGCAGAAGGAAATCCTAGTTACTCAGCTGCAACCCTACATACACTTACCTGGAAATAAGCTCCAATGGATGCAATAGGTCTTACTTTACTGAGTAAAGAAGGATTGATCTGAAAGTAAAAATTGTCCTCCCGTTAACTATGGAAAAGTAAGGTAAGCTACCTTAGAGTAGTCTCCCAGTCTTGGTTCTCTTGCTATTCCACGCCCCATCCCCACAACCAGAAAATGTTTAATAAGATTAAATGTTGAATGAGCCAGAAAAGGGGGGTGGAATTGTCACAATTTTTTATATTTATTTTTAAAAATCACTTATTTTCTTGAACTGAGGAAGCAATATATTATTTTGAGCAGATGGGACGAACTGATATTGCTCATTGGTAACAAACTAACAAGCAAAATGAACTGACAAATCACAAGCTTATCAGGAAAAGAAGCTGTATCCCTCATTTAATGGTAAAGGGTGACACCTAGTGGTTGAATTCTATCAAGTTCCCTATTATAAGAAGAGGCCACTGTGAAGTCCGGCAGTGGTAGCTGGGGAAATTCTACTTGCTACACAGAAGGAGCAAATTGGAATATTCAGTTGTTGTTTCGATAATTATTTTTCTTAGAAGAATAAAAGTGGATTCAAGCTGAAATGGGATGTCCGTTCCAACCTCTGCTCAACAGCACTACTTACCCTGTCTTTGAAAGAAACCACTTACTAATAAATCTTTCCAAAACTTATGCAGACGATCTATTTCAACAAATTCCAAATGCACTTTTTACAGTCACTTGCATTCAGCTAATGGGGAGGGGAAGGCTTCCCTATCTCAGGTTCTCAAATCTAGGATTATCTTATATATATAAGGACATCATGAGATTCACAAGGCAACTACAAATTTAAGATATACTCTAGGATCTGCTCCTGCCCCAAACTTACATTTGTAGATACATAATTCACTCCTTCTCACATCCTAAAAAATTTCATGAAGCTGTCTCTCACCATCCTATTGCCAAATTACTGATTAATTAATTAATTAATTAATTTCTATCCCAGCTTTTCTCCAGAAGGAGCCCAGGGTGGCAAACACATCCACAATTCAAAAACAACACTGTCAAAACATTCCATAAACTATTACAACTGAAAACATCTAAAAGCAAATTTCAATTAAAAACAGTATTTCACCCAGTACTCTTTAGTCACTAAATGCCTGGGTAAAGAGGGATGGTTTAAAATTCCTTCTGAAAGTTAAAAGTAATGGAGACAGATGCACCTCACTAGAGTGGGCATTCCACAAACAGGGAACCTCCTGCCAACCTAGCAGTTCGAAAGCACGCCCGTGCAAGTAGACAAATAAGTACCACTGTGGCGGGAAGGTAAATGGCATTTCTGTGCGCTCTGGTTTCCGTCACAGTGTTCGGTTGCACCAGAAGTGGTTTAGTCATGCTGGCCACATGACCCGGAAAGCTGTCTGTAGACAAACACCAGCTCCCTTGGCCTGAAAGCAAGATGAGCGCTGTGACCCTTTGACTGGATTTAACCGTCCAGGGGTCCTTTACCTTTACCTTAAACAGGGAACCACCACTGAAAAGGCCCTATCACCGGTTAACCTCAACTGGGCAGCTCCTGGTGAGAGCATTACCACCAAGACCTCACCAACCAATTCTAGGGACCTAGATGGTTGATATTAGGGAAGGTGCTCTCTTAGGAACTTGGGTCCCATTTATATGCTCTGTATGCTAATACTAACACCCTGGATGCCAGTGGTTCACTGGTAGCCAGCGCAGTGCTTGCACAATGATAATCTTCTACTATCCTTCTTATGCATGATTTACCTTGCAAAATTTGTAAATCCTGAAATCACCTCAATAGAGTATTTCTATCACTTAACTCAATTTCTTGCACACTGAAAAGATTCCACTCTACAATTCCTGGAATACTTAGCTCTGATATCTTTGTAGCTTTTGACATCATTGATCATGGTGTCCTAGAGAAACTCGAGGGAGGCACTGTAATGGGATGGTCCTGCTCTTACCTGTAGGGTCCTTACTAGAAAGCAAGTAATCGTAAATAACTTTCTCAGCAATATAGCTTTTAAGCCAAGAGTCCATTATGTCTCACTATTCAACATATGAAACTGCTAGGAGCTGTTATCCAGAGACATTATGTTGGTGACATACAGTTCCATCTCTCCATTTCATCTGAATCAGGGAAGACTACGAAGGTGCTGAACTGGTATCTGAAAGAAGTGATGGGCTAGGTGGGAGTCCCAAAACTGAGAGGTGCTGTAGGTGAGCAGTTCCTGTGTCTGGAAACCTGGCTCTGGGCAGGGTCGCATTCCCCTTGAAGATATTTGTAGATTTGTAGTCTGGAAATACAGTACTCCTGCATTCGAATCTGTCACTGGAATCTGTCTGTGGCTAAGAGTGTTTAAGACCAGCTTAGGCCAGTTTGCAAGCTCAAGTCATCCCTGGCCCACGATAGCCTGGTCTCAGTTGCCTATGCTTTGGGGCCCTCATGTCTGGACTACAGCAATGCACTGCTGTAATATGGGATGCTGGAGGCTGAAGCTAGTGCAGAATTTGGCTGCCAGGTTGGTCAGTTCAATGGCACCATGTACCACCAATCCAAGGTGTTAGTACTAGCATACCAAGGCAGATGTGGGTTGGGACTCAAGTACCTAAAGGAGTGCTTTCCCCAATATCAATAATCACTTGTATGGTAATATCTGGTATACACTCAGACTTTCAGCACATTGCTCTAATTCTGAGCCCTAGTTCATTCAGTATGGTGCCCCTTAGCTACCATGGACAGATACTTCCCTTATGAAGTGGATGTTCCACACCATTACCTAGCTGCATGAATCCCAATGGACACAAATTCTCTCTCCCCCAGAAGAAGCACATGTGTACACCCATCAATATAGAACAGCAACTTCATATGTGAATTGAACAACATGGGGGCGGGGAGAGTGATGCCCACAGCTTCACCATGTAAGAAGAGAAGCACTGCTGCTTACCTTTATGGCTAAACTTAAAATCACAACAGATGGACAATTTCCAACTGATGCTGGCAACACATGCATGGTTTTGCGGTTGGTTAAAAGAAATTTATGAAGAGCAGTGGCGACCTGCCCCAAGTCAGAAGGAATTATCCTAGCATCATGCCCTATCCTCTGCCGCACATGAGCTTTTTCAATCTCTCTTGCTCATTTGCCAGAAGAGCTCAGAAGAAGTACTCAGTAGATCACTTCATCAGTTGCCTGTGCATGCCCTAAATGTGGTCACTCAAGGTCACTTAACACAGATTAACAATGCATCTACATCATGTTGTCATAATTACAGTGGCTACCTAAAATTATTTCACCTCTTTCAATGTCTGCTTATGAGTGGAGTGAGAATTTTAATCTGTGTGAGTACAAAACTGGGAAATTACTCTATATGAATTAATCTGGTGGGTGCGATTTTGTGCAGACATAATAGCCCAGATGTAATAAGAATGGTGAACTGAAAAAAGAAAAAGCTGCAAATGGTAGGAGAACTTTATCTAATGAGGGACTACAGTCTAGTCACTGGTTGCTGGGTTAAAGCAAATGTCATAGAATGTCCTCATTATTCTTATCTGAGACATCCATTCCCAGATTTAGCAAGTGCACATTTGTGGAACAGTTCCTCCTCATGTGTGCCTGGAAGCCATATTTTCTGATTTGAAAGCCCTGTCCCAACTCATGGATATTTGAGGGAGCTTGTGGTTACTTAACAGCAAGGGCAAACTGTTGTTTGCTGTATGAATTTAGTCCACACATTCTGTGGCTGAACCATGTGTGATCAAGGTGTTTGTGCTATGATGATACCACAAAGCTGGGTATAAAGGTATTTGTTTTTTGATGGTGGATACTGATATGAGTTGCAACTGGGCAGCAGTTATAGGATAAGGTAAAGGTAAAGGTACCCCTGCCCGTACGGGCCAGTCTTGACAGACTCTAGGGTTGTGCGCCCATCTCACTCAAGAGGCCGGGGACCAGCGCTGTCCGGAGACACTTCCGGGTCACGTGGCCAGCATGACATCGCTGCTCTGGCGAGCCAGAGCCGCACACGGAAACGCCGTTTACCTTCCCGCCAGTAAGCGGTCCCTATTTATCTACTTGCACCCGGGGGTGCTTTCGAACTGCTAGGTTGGCAGGCGCTGGGACTGAGCAACGGGAGCGCACCCCGCCGCGGGGATTCGAACCGCCAACCTTTCGATCGGCAAGCCCTAGGCGCTGAGGCTTTTACCCACAGCGCCACCCGCGTCCCTAGTTATAGGATAAGTACCTATAAAAACTGAGAATCTCTTATCCATTCCTTATTATTGTTGTTGGTTTTTTGTTTTGCACCATCGGAATGCCACAATATATTGAATTTATGCTTTTTTTACCATTGTAATCTGCGAGCTATGATGAGGCAGTGTATTTTTGTTATTCTAGTAGAAATCACTTGGATCTATGTCTTAAACTACATTTTCCAGAATGATGCTGCTGTAATATAGAGCATTAGGTGAACTATTTCTTATGCTGTACTCTCAGTTATGCCTTGATGATGGATGGGACAGTGCAGGTGTGAAGAGAGTCTGAATTTAAGCCAAAGAGCAATCTTGTCTCAGACGTGCAACCATGCCCTGGACCTGCATTTTTGTGCCACAGCTTTGTCATAAAATGCTAGATTTTCATGTGTGCATGTGAGAGAGAGGGTTTCTTTAATTGTACAGCCTGTCAGTATTGGAGTGAACTATAATAAATGGTGGGTTTTACAGATCCAGCTGTAAAAATAGTATGGATTCATGAGAATCCATATGTGAGATTTCTATTTCTAAAGCATGAGGGGCTGGAGATATTATTTCATGGCATAATCTTGGGTCAAAATGTGAGCTGTCACCAGATTCATTAGAGTGTTCGTCTGTAATAATAGCCATAATTTTGAAATTTAAAAGATTATGGTCCTCTTCGCACCAGCTGGTAAATACTATGAAAGGGTTAGTGAAAGAATCAGCTTTTCAGGTAAAATACAATTCACATATTTTCCTATTATCAATATTGTTATTGGAACTAGATTAAAACAAAATGCACAGAATCTAGGCCAGACAATGCCTTAAGGACTGTGAAAAGCCTGGAACTATAATAGTACTGAAGTCTCCAAGATAAGCCAAAACTAAGTGGACATCAATAAAACTGAAAGCTGCCCTGGGGAAAAAACTATAATCCAGACTAACGTATCTCACAGAGACTGTGCAAGAAAAAATACTACCCTGAGCTCTCAGGAGGCAAAATATAGTACAGTGGTACCTCAGGTTAAGTACTTAATTCATTCCAGAGGTCTGTTCTTAACCTGAATCTGTTCTTAACCTGAAGCACCACTTTAGCTAATGGGGCCTCCTGCTGCCGCCGCACCGCCAAAGCACAATTTCTGTTCTCAACCTGAAGCAAAGTTCTTAACCTGAAGCACTATTTCTGGGTTAGTGGAGTCTGTAACCTGAAGCATATGTAACCTGAAGCGTATGTAACTCGAGGTACCACTGTATACATAGTGCAGAAGCCCCACTAAGTTCCCTACACCTTAACTCCCAGAGAAGTGTATATCGGATTACAGCTTTACAGTTCAAATTTAGGCATGTTACTGTTTACTTTGAAGTAATTCAACTACGCTCAACAGGGCTTACTCCATGCATTAGTACTATACGCATAGGACCCTAGCACCTGAATCATCAAACCAGTCAGTGGGCAAGGACCTCATGCAAACGTTTCCAGAACTGGACCCACCAATAAATGCTCCATTATGATACCTCACCAGGAACATGTTTTTTTGTTCTTCGGTGAATTTTACGCTACTACAGTGCCAAACTCTATCTCAGTGGCTCTTTAGAGGTTCCCACATTTCCCTGTGCAGATTTTTCTTCATCAGATACAACATTTATGCTCCACAATGGCTTCGTCTTAACGAGGAGCCCCAACGTGTGCCCCCCAACACACCTCCTTCCTAGCCCCCCCCCTTTAGTAGCCTACTCGCGCTTCCAAATCTCAGGGGTTCTTTCAACCTCGGCAGAATTTCCTGCGCCCCCTGACCCGCCATTTCCCAACACCCCCCATCTTAGCCACCCCTTTCTCCATGCAACCCAATGCTATGTCTCCCCACCCAGGTGGGGAGGGGGGACCATTTCCCTCCCCCCCCCCGACCGCCCAACCTCCTTCTTACAGCTCTTGACAGCCGCCTGTTCTGTCCCCGGGGGGTCCGGGGCTCAGCTTCGACCTGCTGCTCCGCGCTCACCTTCCAGGTCCCGCGACAGCGCGGAGCAGACTTGGCGGAGCCGCCTACCAGACAGATAGACAGACCGGAGGAGGAGGGCGGGAGGGAGGGAGGGAGGGGGGCGGTGAGGGCGGTTGGACAGAGTTGCTTCCTCTCTCCGGCTCAGCCCAAGCGGGGCGGGACTTACCCCCCCTAGCAACACCGCCGCCAATCACGGCGTCGGAAAAAGGGAGAAAGCCCATGCGAGAGGAGGGAGGAGCGAACGGCGTTCTCTGCGCCTCGCGACGAGGAGAGTGGCAGGGGCTCGCGCCAGTCGCTGAGGAGAGGAGGCGGAAGTCGAGTGGGGAGGCCGAAGCCCACTCACAAGGGAGGAGGCGGAGATTGTTTACTTTGAAGGATGAAATGCGGGCCCAATCGCCGAGGGCATAGGAGGAGCTTAGGAGGGGGGAGGGGGTTGATCGATAGGGTCTCCCGCCAATCAGAATGTGGGTCTGAAAGTTCAGCCGCGGATAGGGAGGCGCGTTTCCCAATCAGGAGCCGGAGAGCCGGAGCTGTGCCGAAATTAAACGGCCGGAGGGTCGGAGGTTGCGGGGGCCCGTGGCGGCTGATTGACAAGCGAACTCGCCAGTAAGGACGGTCCTTGGGGGGTGGTGCCGGAATTGAGGAACGCCGCGACAGGGGGCGGGCCATCCGGCGGATCGGGAGCAGAGGGGAGGGGAGCTGGAGGAGCTCGGTACGCGCAGGGCGGCCGGAGCAGCATGGCGGAAGACGAGAGCGATCAGGAGTCAGAGAGGCTCGGCGAGGAACTCGAGGCCATTGCCGGGCCGCGGCTTCCCACCGGCTTGTCCCCGGCCTTGAGCAGCCAGTATTATTGCTACCGCTTCTGTCAGGTGAGGCGCTGGCCCCGCCCCCTGGAGGCTGACACCTTGCGGGGTGGGGGTGGGCTGGGGAGGCGGACAGAAGGACAGGGGCGGCCGGGCAGGAAAAGCTGCTCGGCGACGGGTCCCCTGCGGGTGGTTCTCTTGGAGGCGCTTCGCGGGGGCGGACCAACCGCCGGAGGGGGCGACGCTGAGGGCCCCTTTCTCGGCCAAAGCGAGGCGCCGTTCTCCGGGCCCCCTGTTCGCTTCTCCCCCCCCCCCCCCTCACGGGCGACGACCGGTCGCGGGGGAAGCTCCTTCATTTTCTCTCCCATTCCTCTAGTCTCCCCTCAGGTCAGTTTCTCCCCTCGGGAATAGCGAGGTTCACGAGCTCGTGGTTGGCCCTCCCTTCTTTTATTGTGAGAGGGAACAGTGATTTGTATGGGGTGTCAACAGTGGAGCTCGGCCTGACCTTTTCATTCCCCCCCTCCCTTCCTGACGCTGTCGCGGTGGGGGTGCTGAGGAGGAGGGAGGGAGGGAGCTTCTCTCCCCGCCCTCTCCGCCCCCCGGTCAGGCAGTTAGTAAGTTGCCAGGGTGGCGCGCGGGGGTCCCCGTGAGGTCAGGGCTTGGCGGAGGGAGTGCGAGTTGTTTGCAAGAGGCAAAAAGGAGCAGGAGGAGACAGACAGGTTTGTTCTCCTCCGGGGAAAGTCTTTCCTGGCCTGTCCTTCCTATCTTTAAATAATAATAATAATAATAATAATAATAATAATAATAATAATAATAATTCCTTGCCACGGGAGAAAGATAAATGCGCTCCGAGGAAAATGGCTGGTGGCAAACTAGTTTGCGTTGCTGGTGCTGTTTGTTAGGAGGGGGTAGCTGTCCCTGAAGGCTTTTGTTCCCTGGGGAAGAGGAGGAAGAGGAGGACCATGGTTGGTTGAGTGGTCTTGTTTTATTAATCAACTGCTTGGTTCGTATTATTTGAAACATCACTCGGCTGCTATTTCTACAAGGTATCTTATGACACGAACAGTCCTGTGCAATGCGTGCTTGAGGTGAAGTTCACCCTATTTAGCGAAACTTACTTGCAGGTGTGTATGCTCGTTGGAATCAATCAGGGTTTTTTTCCCCTGGAGTCAGTTGTTCTAATGAATTATTTGCTTACTTTTGATACACTTGCTGTTCAACTATTTACCAGGTTTGGAACATTTTTAAAGCAGTTTCAAGAGCCTAAAGATGATAAATGACAGCTAAATGTCATTGCTACATTGTTTGCATTTTTCTAGGTTGCTTGTATATAAGGCAACAGCAATTCAAAATTGACTGGATAGCAATGTATTGACTTGGTGGCCAAATAAAAAACAATTTTTGCTATCCTTATTTTGTATTTAAATTATTTGGGATGGACTCCTATTACCCACTTACCTGGAAGTAAGTGAACTCATTGAGTTTTAATTCTGACTAGACATGTATAGGATTGCACTCTTCATATTGGATTGTTAATGCAAAGGTAATCAGAAGATAGCTTTGATTTCACACTGGGCATGCATTTTATATAAATAGTATATCAAATGCTTGACTAGTAGATTATTGTAAACACCATAGCTTTGTAACCTGTGTTAGGCACTTTTGATTGTGGTGTAGTGACAAAAACAGGCAGAAGCTCACAACTGTGACTATATATGCTAGGTGCTTCTCTCTCCCCTTCCCTAATAGCATGCAGACAGAAAAAAATGCCAGTGTATAAAATGCTATGCTTTGCAGGAAGACTGCTGATAGAAACTAACTTGCAAATCTCGAGCTAGCTACATCTTGTGTGCTGATACCCTTTAAAGAAACCTTTCTGTAATCCTCTCTTCGCTTTTGATTTTTAAAAACTAGATTTAATAGGACTGTGAATGGCCCAGTCTTTGTTTCTCTCTCATTCCCCATTCTTTCAAACACGTAGATTCTATGCACTGAGAGTTCATCTATTCCACACTTACAGTGCTATGTTAGTTGGTGAAAAATCTGGTTGGCATGGTAAAACTTGCAGTTTTAAACAGTCTTCATTGATAAACATTTAGACTTCCAAATCAGTGTGTTTAGGGCTGGAATGGAAATCTACTTAACCTGCCTTTCTATTTTTTATTGGCTTCATATCCTCCATTTTCTGTTTAAACCAGGCTGTGTTGTGCCTTTCCACTGTCACTGTTTCCTTGGCTCTTTTCTCATACAGGATCTGTCTTGTCTTGTAAGCTGTATTTTTCTCTGTCTCTGGTGTGAGGAGGCTTAGGTATGGAAGGCCTTGCGAGCTGCTTCAGCCAGGCAGTGTTGCAAACTCACTTGTGCACTCATTGTGTACAACCCTGTGAATATGTTCCTGACTGGTGTAGAGTAGTTTAAAAATGATATACAAAGTTACTGAATTATTACTATAAATTTCCACAATTGGATGCTCAGGGTAAAGTAGTTGGTATAAAATGGCAATTTTAATAAATTCCAATAACACATACATTGCTGTGTGCTTGATATGGAAAAGTGTGTGGCTATTAACTTGTGTGAGTCTGACTGTTATATATGTGTATTGACAAGCAGTACCTTGCAGTCAAATTTTTTTTTTATATTAAAAAAACACCTTAAGAAAATTGATGCCTTAAACTGGAAGGAGGAGACAGTGTTATTACAAGAAAGCAATAGTGAAACAGAGCTAAAGGAAGCTGTGCTTTTTCATGGCTACAATTCCTATTCCTTATCATATGGGACTGGAGGATTTAGTTGTCATAACTAGCTTATGCGTAAGCAACGGGTGTTCCTAACTTTGACATTGATTTTGCAATTTGATGTTGAGTAACACACCTGTTCACTTAGTAATGTTTGTAGGTAGAGGATATGCATAACACATGTCGGGATCCAAGTTTGGAGCTGGTTTTTAGTCTTTGGGCATTTTAGTTTACATGAACATAATCTGATTAATATTATTCTACTAAAATATTTCCTTGATGGTAAGTACTTTATGGCAGGTGCTCATTTACCTTGCAAGCTCTGAGTTCTGAAATTTGAGGTAGGCCTTTATAGGAATAGTGAACTTAGCTGCTACTTACAGGATTTCTTATTTTTATCAACTACTCCCTTTGGCTAGAGCTGACTATATTTTTGCAGCATCTTAGCAATACTATCCTGTTTTCATATACAAGATTCTGGCTGGAATCCTGTTCATACTTATCAACAAGCAAGTCCTACTGAACACAGTGGGATTTGGTAGAATTGCACTGTTTGTCTCATTTCTCAGTAGATGCTGAGTCTTTTAAATAACTTCTGAAGACCAAGAGTTAAAAGGGCATTTTAAACAGCTTTGTGTTTAATAACTCACCAGGAAGGTGTGCATGTAATTTTGTTCCCCCTCAGCCAGTCTTATTTGGTTTCCATGTTGTCTGAGGAGAAAAAGAAGTCTTTCAACTAGCATAACAGATAAAAAGCTAGTTAGTATCTTGTGTTCCCGTGCTGATCATAGAGAAAGGGGCTTCCCTTGCTCTTCAGCTATCATGGGACCAGGCTACTGGCTTCTTCCTGTGTTCTTTGACTTTTAAATAGTGCTACAATGTGTTCTTTGCTTTCATAGTGAAAGGTGCATTCATGATTGTTAAACTTGTAAATCATAAAACAAGTAGTTCTGCAGATGTTGCTGGACTACAGATCCTACCATCCCTATTGGCCATTCCAGCTCAGGTTTGTAGGATTTGGATTCCAGCCACATCTGGAAGCCCACACATTCCCCATCTTGGCTGTAAACATTTCTCCTACTTCTTCGTACATTGCTTAACTGGCTGATAATCTGTAAGAGCATAACTTTAATATCTTTGCTCTTGCTTATAGTTGTTGGTTCAAAATACCTTGTATTTTTACATTTTCTCCATAGCATATAATTATGTGTATATGCAATAGAGAAACTTTGAATTGCAAATTTTATCTCATAGTAAATCTAGCCTATTCTAGACTGAGTGAGGAAATATAAAAGAGAAAACATTAAGCTTTTTGAAAATAGTACACTATGCTAGAAATGTCACAGGGCAGCCTTCAGCTCTTTACAGGCAGGTAAACCTCTGGGACCAAAGGACTACTTCAAGATGTGCAGTTGAAGTGTAAGCTGGTTTTGGGTGCTGATCTTTAGATAATGTGCTACAAGTAAAACAGCTAGTTCTTTAACAGCTAGACCTTCTTGGCTGCGAGCCCTAGAAGACCTGCTCTCTGCCTTGCAGGCCTTTTCCCACCTAGCCTGGGAGGGCAGGGCCCTGAGGCTGCTAAGCAGACTCTTGGGTTGGGGTGTTGTTTAGGGCAGGCATGGCCAAACTTGGCCCTGCAGATGTTTTGGGACTACAGTCCTCATCATCCCTGACTACTGGTCCTGTTAGCTAGGGATGATGGGAGTTGTTGTCCCAAAACATCTGGGGGGCCAGGTTTAGCCATGCCTGGTTTAGGGGTTTTGTTGGGGGTGGGGTTGCTGCAGTTTTTAATATATTTTTTGTACCTTATTTTAGATCATATTATGATTTATGTGGAAATGGTTTAATCTGATTGTGTACTTTTTATGTTTTTTTATGTTGTAAGCCACCGTGAGCATGGTTTTAACTATGGAAAGGCAGCAAACAAATAAAATTATGTATATATGTATCTGATGCCAGCTGACTTATACAGTGGAACCTTGTGTTACGTACCACCCTCCTTACGAATGCTTCCGCTAACCCGGAAGTAGATGCTCCTGGTTGTGAACTTTGCCCCAGGATGCAAGCGGAAGTCGCACGCTGGCAGCGCAGCAGCAGCAGGAGGTGCCATTAGTGAAAGTGCATCTCATGTTAAGAACGGTTTTGGGTTGCAAACGGACCTCCAGAACGGATTAAGTTTGTAACCAGACGTACCACTGTACCTGGTAGTTTGCTACCTGTTATCATGAAATCATCTCTCTTCTATCTGAATTCCTAAGTGATATTGGTGGGGGTAACAAGTGTCATTTCAACCATTCCCATTGATGATGATAATGATGATCTATTATTTATATCCCGCCCATCTGGCTGGGTTTCCCCTAGCCACTCTGGGCGGCTTCCAACAAAAGATTAAAAGTACTTTAAACATCAGTCATTAAAAACTTTCCTAAACAGGGCTGCCTTCAGATGTCTTCTAATCCTCAGATACAGTGGAACCTCGTGTTACGGACGGGATCCGTTTCAGAGGCCCATCCGTGACACGGAACTGACGCAAGCCAAAGTGCCGCGTCTGCGCCCGCGCACAGCGCTATTTAGTGCTTCTTTGCATGTGCGAGCGGCGAAACCCGGAAGTAACCCATTCTGGTACTTCCTGGTTGCCGCAGGACGCAACACGAAAACATGTAACCTGAAGCGGACGCAACATGAGGTATGACTGTAGTTGTTAATTTCTTTGACATCTGATGAGAGGGCGTTCCACAGGACAGGCGCCACTACTGAGAAGGCCCTCTGCCTGGTTCCCTGTAACTTCGCTTCTTGCAGTGAGGGAACCGCCAGAAGGCCCTCGGTGTTGGACCTCAGTGTCTGGCCTGAATGATGGGGGTGGAGACGCTCCTTCAGGTATACTGGGCCCAATGCCATTTAGGGCTTTAAAGGTCAGCACCACCACCACTTTGAATTGTGCTCGGAAACGTACTAGGATTACAGCTGCTGCAGCTAGTATGGCTATGTTAAAAAGAATTATAAATTACTGCAGTATTGTTGTTTCTGGAGAAAATGCATCTCATGCTTGACATCTATTTATGTTAAAAACATATATGCTTAATTTTTACTAACAGATTTGGATCAATTTAATCCTATCCAGCAAAAAAGCCTATGGGAAAAAATGGAAATGGGATATAAATCAACCTCTTCACTGTGTGAAGCTTCATTGGTTGTCCCCGGGATTGGCAAGGCTCATTTGACAGCAACGAGAAAACAAGCCTTTAATGTTATTGGCCCTGTCCTGTGGAAAGCAATGCCAGTAAAGTTTCAGCAGACTTTAATCTTTAAATGTCTGCTGAACTTTTCTATGCCGCCAAGCATACTTAATGTTTTTATTAAAATAAATGAATGAACACAGTTGATTCAACCTCATAATCTATATGCAAACACAGATTCTGTGTTTCTGTGGACATTCCCAGGGGAACTGAAGGAGGCAGTGGTGCGCCCGCTCTTAAAGAAAACATCATTAGATCTTTTAGATCTATCCAGTTACCGCCTGGTTTTGAATCTTCCCTTCCTGGGTAAGGTTATTGAGAGAGCGGTTGCTGAACAGCTTGGTGGGTGTCTGGATGAAACATCGGCTCTGGATCCATTCCAGTCCGGCTTCCACGCTGGTCATGGGACCGAGACGGCTCTGGTTGCCCTAACAGATGATCTTCGTAGACAGCTGGATCAAGGCGGGTCGGGGCTGCTGATTCTTTTAGATCTGTCAGCAGCTTTCGACATGGTTGATCATGAACTTCTGGACCACCGCCTTGCCGACGTGGGGATCCAGGGCACAGTCCTTCAATGGCTGCGCTCGTTTCTCTCTGGTCGGGGATAGAGGGTGGCGCTTGGGGGAGAATTGTCATCGCGCCACTCCTTGGTGTGTGGTGTACCTCAGGGTGCGATACTCTCCCCGATGTTTTTAAACATCTTTATGCGCCCCCTCGCCCAGCTTGTCAGGAGTTTTGGGCTGGGTTGCCATCAATATGCTGATGACACCCAACTCTATCTGTTGATGGATGGCCATCCTGACTCGGCCCCAGACACACTGACCAGATGTTTGGAAGCTGTGGCTGGATTGTTACGTGGGAGCCGGTTGACGCTAAATCCTTCGAAGACAGAGGTCCTGTGGCTGGGACGGGACGATATGGGATTGGGGGGGCAACTCCCATCTCTTGCGGGGGTGCAATTAGTGCCAGCAACATCCGTTAAGAGTTTGGGTGTAATCTTCAACACCTCCCTTTCCATGGAGGCGCAGATTGCAGCTATAACAAAGGCGGCATTTTTCCATCTCCGCCAAGCTAAGCAGTTGGCTCCTTACCTCTCTCGCCCTGACCTAGCCACTGTGATCCACGTGACGGTCACCTCCAGACTGGATTATTGTAACTCGCTCTACGTGGGGCTGCCCTTGAGACTGACCCAGAAACTCCAGCGGGTGCAGAATGCTGCAGCGAGACTCCTTATGGGGTCTTCACTGCGAGATCACATTCACCCGGTGCTATACCAGCTGCACTGGCTCCCGGTGGAGTACAGGATCAGGTTTAAGGTGCTGGTTTTAACCTTTAAAGCCCTATACGGCCTAGGACCCTCGTACCTACAGGACCGCCTCTCCTGGTATGTCCCACAGAGAAACTTACGGTCTTCAAAAAAAAACATCTTGAAGGTCCCAGGACACAGAGAGGTTAGGCTGGCCTCAACTAGAGCCAGTGCTTTTTCGGCTGTGGCTCCGATCTGGTGGAACACTCTGTCACAAGAGACTAGGGCCCTGCGGGACTTGACATCTTTCCGCAGGGCCTGCAAGACAGAGTTGTTCCACCTGGCCTTTGGTCAGGGCACAGCCTGACTCCCTCCCTCGGCAATCTTCGTGGAGCTCTGGCCCAATAGTTGCCAGTGGCTTGATTTGAATTAATTTTATAATGAATGATTTTAGAGTGTTGTTTGTGCTGTACTTTTGTACTGTTTTATTGTTGTTAGCCGCCCTGAGCCCGGCTTCGGCTGGGGAGGGCGGGATATAAATAAAATTTATTATTATTATTATTATTATTATTATTATTATTATATTATTATTCTGTCCCCTCTATAGTTAATATGTCACATATTCCATTGTGTTTACAAATGCAAGGCACACTCAACATATTCATTTAAATACTGCTTTAAATATTTGAACAAGTTGTGCAGCTTCTGCAATATATACTTGATGCTGAATACCCTCCTCATCACTAGACCTGGTAGTAAAACATTCAAAGTGGTAAAAACTGAATGGGAGGAGTTGCCTTATGCAATGGTCACTTCATGTTGATGATCTCTAGCAGGCCACCCCACTGCCCTCCCTTCAAGTATTCATTCTCATCCCCCCTCCAACCACCCCTCCTGTCTTTATTAGTCCATCCGTCTTGTTGGAGGATGTGTGGAAGAACTGCTTGTTACTAAATGCCTGCAAGCACCTTTGTTCCCTCTCCCTGGCAAGAGCACACACCAGCTTGCTCAAAACAAAGAGCCCCAAATAAGCATTCCTTCCTAAGACTTGGCCTTATTGGTGCCGACAGGTAAAATGAGAAAGTGCAGTTTTTCAAAAGATAATTTGTTAATATGATATTTGATCAGCATTGAAGCCCACACATATCCATTAGGTTGGTGGTGGTCTACCTCTCACTCTTTGTTCCTTCTTTTGCTTTTGCTTTGTTTTCTCTTCAGACTACCCTTTATTTTCTATTTCTTTGCTATATCTTGCTTGTTAGCGCTTTCTGAATGTTATGGAGAGGATGGATGCAATGAGGTGGTGTGTATATATCAAATACATATTTAAACAAAAAATACAGTAATTCTATTTGGTGAAAGAATTCCAGTCCATCACTGAGATGGGTAATGAAACATTCCAAAAGTAAAAAAAAGTCAGGACAAATAGTTGTTGGGCCCCTAGCCCCAGTAGTTTTTTTGTGTATGTAGGCACACTTGTTTATATTGTGCCTGTGTTAGCAGTCCTCAGTTTCATCCAGATCTAGTTCTTGTTTATCAGAGTTCCTGTCCTGTCTCAAATTGTTGTAATTTTTGGTAGCAATTTTATTGACCCTGGCAGTGGACTGCCCATTTGCCAAATACAGTGGTACCTCTGGTTACGTACTTAATTCGTTTTGGAGGTCCGTTCTTAACCTGAAACTGTTCTTAACCTGAAGCACCACTTTAGCTAATGGGGCCTCCTGCTGCCGCTGCGCTGCCACTGCACGATTTCTGTTCTCATCCTGAAGCAAAGTTCTTAACCCGAGGTACTATTCTGGGTTAGCGGAGTCTGTAACCTGAAGCGTATGTAACCCGAGGTACCACTGTATTACAAAAGAGATCCCCATGGCTTTGCAACTTGTTAGGATTCCTCTTAGTTCTAATTTGGACCATATTTAATTTGTACTCTTTCCCCCTTTTCCCCTGCCAATAGGTTGTGGAAGACTATGCTGGAAGATGGCAGGTTCCTCTGCCACAGCTTCAAGTGCTTCAGACAGCGCTCTGTTGTTTCACATCTGCTTGTGTATCATTCCCAACTGATTGTGAGCACGTGCAGTATGTGCTGAGTAGCTTAGCCTTGTAAGTATTATTATTTCACTCTTCATCCTGTAAGATTCCAATGTTGTGAACAAGTAAAAGTGCTAAACTATATCATAAACTAAAATATATAATGAAACCATAAAGAATAGTTTGAGGCCTCAGCAAACCTGTACAACTGGTTAATAAAAATGCCTGGGAAAATAGAAACAGAACAACTTCAGCAGAACATGTCGAAGCAAAACATTTGTTTCTCCTATTTCTGTCCTAATTTTCTGGATAATTCATCACTTGAGAAACACATAGTCAATGACAACTCTGTGTATTTTCTGAGTTAAGTGTTGTGAAGAAGATTAATCTCTCATTCCCCCCCCCCCATGCAAAAATCAATGGTTGCTGTCATAACCATTTCACAAGTTTCAGTTTGTAACTAACAATATCCTCCTGTGTGTTCACATGTAAGGCTGGGATTGGCCTATATATATTATTGGGTGATAGTTCTCATTTCCCACATGTTAATTAATCTAGCTCTATGATAGATTTGGGGGGGGGATTTTCCCTTGTGAATGTAAGACGTGTAACAGAGCTGAACATTTCATAGAAAAGCTAGTTTTAGATGGGATGGTGTTATTACTATTTTTAAAAGAAACTTAATTGTTGATATGCCATATTAGGATGTTTGCTTATTTTAAATTGGAAACCAGCTCAAGCACTTGATAAACCTGCTTTGAGCATTTTTTTTAAAATGATGATCAAAATAATCTGTGATCAGATTGAAATACCTTTTATTTTTAATCCCCTGTCTGCCTCACGTCTGCCACCTCTGTAAATAATAGTTGTGTTCAGTTTGACTTGTGAGTCACAAGTTCCCGTACAGTCTCTGTTTTGAAATACTGAAAGCTTAATCTTGTCTCTTTTTGATACATATCAGCCAGTATCAGTTGCCAGTGCAGAGTATGTACTGGGTGTGGGAGAGGTTTTCCTTGGCTGGTGAAGACTAGGAGACACTTGGCTAGTTGCTGGCTGGAATCACCAGTCTCTTCCTTAGGCACTGCAAATTAAAAAGCTCAAATCTGTAGTTGGTCAATATTGCTGTAGTTTCTCTAAGTGTTCTATACCTTAGCGAAATTTCTGTATTTTTACAATGATGCTTCAGTACTTTTGTTCACCAGAGCAAGTATGATACTGTTCTCTGAAGAATGTTTCAAGCTGCCAGCCTTCCTCCCAACTTTGAAGCAGCATAGGGGTGGCGATAACCCTGGCATTTACACGGAAATCTCCAGCTTGAAGGTTTTGAGCAGGTGTAGGCAAACTCAGCCCTCCAGATGTTTTGGGACTACAATTTCCATCATCTTTGACCACTGGTCCTGTTAGCTAGGGATGATGGGAGTTATAGTCCCAAAACATCTGCAGGGCTGAGTTTGCCTGTGCCTGATTTTGAGGAAGAAGTTTGGCTTCCAGATGTGTTCATTTATGCCTTTAAATTTTGCCTGTGGACTAAAATAATCTGCACTTTTGTTTGAGGTATTGTTGGTGTCACGAATGCCTTAGCAGAGGCTTGTAAAATTGTTCAAGAAGTTACTTGTATTTTTGGCAGGAAGGCCAGAATGGATAGTGAAACGTGTTTGGAACATCCCTTGCAGATTCTTATAAGGGTTGCTTCTCATACCACATGCATTTGGGATCATTAGGTTAGATTATCCAGGAAGCTAGAGTTGACTCGCTCTCTCCTCTTAGGTTCCGCAGTCTTGAGGATTGCCCACTGCGTAGCCATTATGAAGTTGAATACTGATAGGACTGAATTAATACTGACTGGCAAGCTATGTGCAACACAGTGGTACCTCGGGTTACATACGCTTCAGGTTACAGACTCCGCTAACCCAGAAATAGTACCTTGGGTTAAGAACTTTGCTTCAGGATGAGAACAGAAATCGTGCTCTGGTGTTGCGGTGGCAGCAGCGGGAGGCCCCGTTAGCTAAAGTGGTGTTCAGGTTAAGTACAGTTTCAGGTTAAGAACGGACCTCCGGAACGAATTAAGTACTTAACCTGAGGTACCACTGTACGAGGGAAGGGATAGTCAGAATTAATGCTGACTTCATAGCAGAAATGGGGATTCTGTGGCCGTCCAGATGCTGCTGAACTATAATTATTGTCATCCCCAACCATTGAACATGCTTGCTGGCAGGAGTTGGAATTCAGGAGCTTCTGGACAGCCACAGGTTCCCAGTCCCTTCCTATCTCAGTCACACAATTTTCATCTTTGTGATACATAAGTGAGAACATATGCTAGTGCTCTAGTATATCTTCAGTGGCTTCCTCATGTGTTCTGATGCTATTCAGGGTGCTTGTTTGATATAATGCCCACAGGGGCTAGTGTCAAATTGGTGCTTAGTTTAAAATTCTGCACTTAAAACTTGTGAAATAAATATGTCTTCATTTTTTGCCTCGTTTTTGATTCCTAATTGCTTTGATTTTTAGGAGTTTTTTTGAATTGCTGCTGTTCTTTGGAAAGGATGAATTCTATGAAGATCCTTTAAAAGATATGCTGGGCTCAATCCAGGTAATTTATTGTTCATACGTTTGAGGAAAGGCTATTATTACAGTTTTCAGAGTATGTGACAGAGACTCAGTAAGCAAAAAGTAGCCTCCTGCTTTGAAAAACCTTAAAATTGAGAAATGAGATCACTGGTAAATATTTTATGCTAAGATCAGTAAGATTAGCTTTTTATGCTAAACTTTCCTAGGACAAGGATGGCCAACTTTTTTCGGCCTGTGACTTTGGATCCCACAGTTACAGTGTCTTGTCCTCACAGGCACACTGGGAAAGTAGAAAACAACTTTTTAGTGCTAAATGACAAGGTGCTTACAGGGAGCTGTCAATTGGAAGTAAGCCTGAGAGTCACACAGCTTTTTGCCAGGCCAATACCATTGTCTGATGTCTTTCTTGTAGCTTTTTCACTCACCAAGAACACTGAGCACTTTGGGCTTGCCTCCCAGCATTGCCACTGCCATCTCAGCCTTCACCCTGGGACGCAATGAGAGAATGTTGCAGAAGTCTCTGGGATACATTTGTGTACTGCTGGGGGTGTTGGGGAAGGAATGCTTGAGAGAGCTAGTCAAGGGGCATTGAGAAGGGTAACCTGAACGCATTACTGGCCAGCACTTCCCTCCCACCTAGTCAAGATATCTCTGTTATCTTCATTTTTTAAAATTTTATTTTAAACTTTGAAAATACAAATGTAAACAACGGAAAAGGTTGCCCTTAACTCGTGGGATAAGCTAAACGAGAATTAATGCTTTAAATGTATTTCACCCTGTGTGTATATGGAATTATATTAAATTATGCAATTTATTTGTGAAAAGACAAACAAAGCTCAGTCCACTTGACGTATTAAAGAAATATTTGTATCCATTTTAGGAATGTCAGAACCTCTTGAGCAGATATGGAAGCGTTAATTTGGAGTTGGTGACTCGAATTATCAGAGATGGAGGGCCTTGGGAAGATCCTGTATTACAAGCTGTCCTTAAAGCAAAGCCAGTTTCTCAGGATTTGGGTACTAAACTTTTTTCCATAAATAGACCAAAATAGTACCACAGAGAAATGTCCTAAATCATGATATCTGCTTATAATTTTATGTAACTTCATTTGCAGGTTGTCTGTCACTCATTTTATACTGGGGATAGCGGGGTAGAATTGACATTTATAATTTCATTATTTTCCCCCCAAAACGGAATTTCTCTTCCTCCCTTCTGTATCATTATTCCCAGGGCAGCTGACAGTTATGGAAAAGAAAGAAAAAAGAACACCCCATAAAATCACATAACAGAATAAAATGAATTGCCATGGAAATTAAAAGACACGGGTGGAATAAATGGCCTGTGTTATTCTTAATATGAGCACACTAGTCTTGCCCTATTGGCCGCTTATACATGTGGAGCTTTCAATTTCTGTGTATTGCTCCTGATGAGCAAAGAGTTCAAAGAACAACTCCATGCATTTCCCCCAATTGTCTATACAAATCTTCCCCTCAGTCAATTGTGAAACATTTGCTTGTATAGGAGTTTGAAATGCAATTGTAATGAAGAATATTGCAGTAAAAGGCTTACAGTTGTCATTAAACAGTCACTGGGGCTGAGTTAATATAAAAGAGGCATGTGGCAGTGGAGGTGATATGCTATTTCCTGTTACTGTAAGAATTTTAATACTGATTTCTAAAGTAGCTGACACCTAACTGACCTCATTCTATTATTAATCTAGATATTTTACCAAAAATTTTTTTTATTAAATTTGTTAGTTTGTTACAGAAAAAAAGGCCTCCAGCATACTTAGAACATAAAGTACAGGTAAAAATACAGTATAATATAACCAGATTTACACAATAGCATGTGCAATTCAGAAATGCCCAAAGCAATTTGTTGGGAGGTTGACCTAGCATAATTTGTTAACTTTAACAGAAGCTCCTACCTTACATCTTTGTAAAATAGAACTTTTTGTTCTATTTGTTCTATGTTGCAATTTAAGATTTTTGTAATCTAACTGTTTTTTTCATTTGTTTTTACCAGTTAACAAATATTTAAGCTCTGAAAACCCACTGTTCTTTGAATTGCGTGCCAGATACCTTATTGCCTGTGAACGCATCCCAGAGGCAATGGCTCTAATCAAATCTTGCATGAATCATCCGGATATTAGTAAAGACCTTTACTTCCATCAAGCATTTTTCATGTGTCTTTATATGTCACCACTGGAAGACCAGCTTTTTCAGGAGGTACTGTTCAACACATTTTTGTGCTTAACAATATAGCTTAATGTTTTGATGATAATTATAAAATTCCTATTACAGCAAAGTAGACAAATTGTAAAACAAGGATGTTTTAAAATCAAATTCCTGCACTAAATATCAAACTTTGTACAGAATATAATTTCTTAAGACCAATAGAAGCTGTTTCCACCCTAATTGCACTACCCCTACTCCAGAACTGGATGTCCATAGTTGGTGTGATGGGGGCCATATAGAAGTAAATGGAGAGGTGAAATTGATGGGACCAAATTGCAAGCAGTTCCTGATGAGATCCATGTTTTCTCGTGGCGTGGGGATGGGGGAGTGAGAGAAATTGCATTGCATTTTAACGGTTTATAGTGTTAATTAATGTTATTTAAAACATAAAACAGTTTTAAAACATTTTAGGCTGGAACAGTATTAATTGTTAGTCTTCTCAATAGAATTCCATAGCAGTGGCACTAAATTTCCTGCTACACTGACAACCATGCTGCTGAAAGCTAGTGTCTTCTATTGCTTGCGAGTTATTGAAATGCTGTATGTAAGGTTAAAGGTAAAGGACCCCTGGATGGTTTAGTCCAGTCAAATGCAACTATAGGGTGTAGCCCTCATCTCACTTCAGGCTGACAGCTTTCCGGGTTATGTGGCCAGCATGACTAAACTGCTTCTGGTGCAACGGGACACCATGACAAGTGCCAGAGTGCATGGAAATTCCATTTACCTTCCCACCACAGTAGTACCTATCTACCTACTCATACTGCTGTTTTTGAGCTGCTAGGTTGGCAGAAGCTGGGACAGAACAACAGGAGTTCACCCCTCGCACGGATTCAAACCGCCAACCTTCTAATTGGCAATCCCAAGAGTCTCAGTGGTTTAGACCTTGTTCAGAAACAGTGTTGATGCAGAAAAAAATGTATGGCACAGGCAGTGATGACTCTAAAACATGGTCTCCAATTCTCTAAATAGCCATCTTATACACAGATGGCATGCATACATTAGTAATTTTTTTCTGGAATTAAAATAATACTTGATACTATCTTTCTCAATCACTCTGCTACAAAACTAATAAGGTAGCAATTTTTACTCTGTTACAATCAATAGTTTTACACAGAGTTGAATAAAAATACATCAGTTTACAGCAAATTATAGTTTACTGCTAAACTTCCATCACAAGTTTCTGTATGTGTTAATATTATGAACTTATTTTTTTATCCCTTTTAACATTGTTACTGAGTGTTTTTGGGATGCATTTTACTGAAATCAAATTGCCAAACTAGCTGCTTACAAGGGTCAAATATATGTTGCATAGAAACTGTCTTAATATACTTCCATTCTAAAATAAAAACCTAGGCAACACTCCCAATCCTAACCCAAAATAAAATTGGCATTCATATTTGACAGCAATCGCTCTAGTAGCAGCAGTTTGAGGATTCCAATTACTGTTAAATGGTGAGCATTAATGTTACTAGACTTACTCAAATGGATCTCATTTTGATTGTATAGCACTTGCTGAGGACTGATTGCAAGAATGGCACTGAAATCATCTGCAACATTGCAAAGGAAGGGAAGACTGCCTTAGCCTTGTACCTTTGTGAATCATTCCTTATTCCACAGCTCAAAAAGGGAGAGATGTATTGCATATGGTAAATACTTTATCTCATAATATTCTACTAAAGGCTAGTAGAAGTATAACTTATAGTTGTAACTAATACATAGTCAAGGTTTCACTTTTCTGAATTGCTATTGAAGATACCCTTACAGCATGGGATATACTGCATATTCTCTCTCTCTCTCTCTCTCTCTCTCTCTCTCTCTGTGTGTGTGTGTGTGTGTGTGTTTGTGTGTGCGTTTATAATCCTTAGTTATATGTAAATTACTGTGTTCTTAGTAGCATAATTACTCTTCTATAAATATTTCACTTACAGAATTGCTGTTTGAGCTTCATGCTAACAAACCACTTTCTGTTTTATAGGGAGCTGATCTTTATTTGGAGTAAACTGCAGCTTAAATCTAATCCATCAAAACAAGTATTTGTAGAGCAATGCTACCACCTCCTAAGGATAGCTACAAACATAAGAGTTATATTCCCTTTCATGAAAGTTATTAAGGATGAAGTAAGTTATTGTTTCTTGCAAACTTCTTTTTTTAAAAAAAATACTAGATTCCACCATGAATAATTATTGTACACAGAGTACAGTTGCATAATAGAACTTTTAGTTTAAATGTCAGGAAATTGTTTATAGATGCTGAGATAGGAGCATTGCAGACATAACTCTTAATCATAATTAATGCTAACCACTATTTTAATCCTGGTTAAGATCCAAAACATACTGTGAAATCATGGTTTAGTTTGTAGCAGAAATGTACACAGTGCCACTAGTGAAACTTGTAGTTCTTTGTCTGTATAGGGACATAAGATCAAGTGGTGTTTAAACAGAAACTTTGAAGATTGATTTTATTGCATCAGCTTGTTTTTTGCATTCTGTAAATTTATTCGAGAAAAATGCATTTAAAAAATAATAATCTTCCCAGTGTTACTTGTCTATATTGCCATTGTTACTTATGCCATCAAGTATTAATTCAATAACTTTATTACTCATTTCATTGCACTATAATGTAGGCATACTTCAGTAAGATGCATACATTATATGTGCATCTGAAGATTGTGTGTTGCACCATAAGGGAAATATGTCTTTTCCTCACTTTTACATCACCATGAAAGTACAACCAGAAGTATGACTTCCTTCTAACATCTAGAGGTGCAACTTGGTGCTTTCAGAGGTCTCCTTTATAAATCTGTAACAGTTGTGCTAGTATATAGGAGGCTGCTGTAGCCTCAGGCCATCAGTCTAGCTCATATCAAGGAAGACAACTTCATTGGCCCGTCCCCTGATGTAATACTCCAATTGAAGGCTTGGTATAATAGTCATGGTGTAATAGAAAACAATAACTGTTGATTAAGAACGTAACATGGCAAAAATAATACTTTGGGACTAAACAGAAACTTTTTTTTAAACAACATATTTGGCAGGGATGTTCATGCCTGCTCCATTCAGTATATTATAATCTGTAAATAGCTGTAGAATATTATGAGATGTAGAAGGATCCCAGTAAATTGGATTGTCTTTGTGTTCTGGGTTTTGAAAACATTGGTAAGTTATATTGTCTCATTTCTTTTTCATAGGTTGGCAAAGAAGGCCTGCAGATTTGTGTTGAGATATGTGGAAGTGCTCTCCAGTTGGATCTCCGTGATGATCCCAAAATGAAGTGTCTGATATATAAAACCATTGCTCACTTTTTGCCAAATGACTTGGAGATTGTCAGAATATGTGCTCTTTCTGTCTTTTTCCTTGAGCGCACCTTGGAATCATATAGCACAGTTGAACATCTGTATAAATGTGCGGATGAAGAGTACAACGATCAAACCAGTTCTGTTCAGAATCGTGTGCGATTTGAGCTGCTTCCAATTTTGAAAAAGGGGTTGTTCTTTGATCCCGAGTTCTGGAATTTCTTGATGATCAAGCAGAACTGTTTAGCACTGCTAAAAGAGAAAGCATCAGTTGATTTGAATAAAAGTACGCCAGGGCATTCTTCCGCACATGTTTCAAAGACACGTCGAGGATTGCGTGGTGATCAAGCCTGTATAGCTGATGTAAACAATACAGAACTAGAGCATGATAGCCCTTCTGGAGCACATGATAATTCCAAGAAAAACCATATAACTCTCAGTTCATCTAAAGTCGATCACAATGTACCAAGGCACCGTTGTGTGTTATGTAACAGGGAATTTCTTGGTGGTCACATTGTGAGGCATGCACAAGCTCATCAGAAAAAAGGCAGTTTTTCCTGTGTAATGTGTCGCAGGAAATTCAGGCAAAAAGGAGTAATGCTCAAGCACTTAAAGAATCACATCAAGAAAATGACAAGGCGTCACCTTGCTGTTACTTGTCATGATCAGGAAACCCCTAATGTAAATGAAATAAACTGTGCCGATACAGGTGTCACAACTGAAAATGGGAAGTCGGAAAGCTGCAAAGACAGCAAAGTAGAGGTTGTCATCATACCGGATACAAATCAGGAGATGCAGAATTCTGAACTCCTAGTTGATATAACTGAAAATCATGATAGTTGCCAGGGTACCATCATCGAAAATGGTAGTTGTGATAGCTGTTCAAATAATACTCCTGAACCAGAAACCATGGGAGGATTTCCAGAAAGTGATAGCAACCTAAATAAAGAGTTGCCTGTACTTCATAAAGTAAATGGGGTGTTATGCACTCAGAATGACTTTGACATTATGGACCAAGCAGGTAACTTCAAGTGTCCTGCTAATGGCTGTATTAGAGTCTTTAAAAAGATAAGATTTCTGAATAAACATGCCCGGAAAGCTCACCCCTCTGATTTGAAGGTGCAAGAACACATAATGAAGTCTAATAAAGGAAAATGTCGCTTCTGTCAGAGAAAGTTTTTTGATTCTCAACATTTTATTGATCATCTAAAGCAGCATGTTTATCCAAATGTTTATTTTTGTTTACACTTTAACTGTAATCAGAGATTTAAGCTATCCACAGAACTTGCGGAGCATATAAAAAGCCACAGTGAGTTTAAAGCTCAGTGTAACTTTGCACAGTGCGGTAAACTTTATGAAGATCTTTCGTTGCTGTATGAGCATGAAGCTCAGCATTATTCCATCAAAACTGGTCCTTCGGAAGAAGCTGATGAAAACATTTTTCCAGATACTACTTTGGAATCCCAGTGTAGCATCCAGGAAAAAGAAAGTAGTAATAGTAAAAATGAGACTGTAATAGACTTGCCAGTTCCAACATGGAAAGCGAGGAAAGATTCTACAGAACCAAAGACTTACATTCAGAGTGAGAAGAAAATTAATAGTGTAATTCCGAATGGGAATGAAAATGCATGTGAAGGTCCTGCTACAGTGGTGAACTTGATAGACCAAAAGATACCTGCGGTAGAGCCAAATTCAGAGAACTGTAATGTTACTGACCAACTAGTCAATGGGTATGGTGAACTGGAACAGACTTCTTCAGCATCCCTAGATACTGATTCAGAAAGTGTGATTGACAAAACAAGGACAGAAAATGGATCCGTTCTGCCTGTTTTACAGAACTCTCCTGATACACCACCAAACAGTGTTGCTCAGTTGCCTTCCAAACCAAATCTGATAACAGAAAATACTTCATATGGCTTAATTTTAACAAAGCCTTTTGTTAGACCATTGCCACCAAGTTACCTGGATGAGCGATACATTAGCATGCCAAAACGTAGAAAAACTTTGACTGAGAAAGTAGATACCCATTCAGAACAAGATAAAACTAGTAGCAAATTGGAAAGGTTAAGATGCAGCAAATGCCTGACCACCTACTGTAACTCAGAAGCACTTGAGCTTCACCTTGCACAAAAGAAATGTCGGACACTCTTTGGATTCGATTCAGATGATGAAAGTAAGTTTTGAAATACTAGGTCCATGTATAGTTGTAAAAGCATTAGACAAGATACAGTGGAAACAAGCAAGTGCCAGACAAATATTGAAAATGAGTGCAGTACATTTAAGGAGAAATGAATCCAAAATGTTAGGGTAGATAGATGCAAGAAACAATTGAATATAAGCTGTCAGATTTAGAATATAATATAGGCAAGCAAGTTAGTATGAGTGATTTTTTGAAGACAGTATTCCGTACTTGTTAAGTAGCTGAATTCCAGTATAAAACAAGAATAGAGAATACTATATTGTGTATACTGTAAACATAATAATGTAATATTTGTTCACAGGTGCCTGATCAAATGTTGTGAGAAGATTTCTCAGTGAAGAGTGATGTGGTGGAGCACTACAGTATTCTGCATCAGTTGTCTTTCCCTTGTTGGCCTTAATTATAAAGAAGTCTGAAGTTACTAAAGAAAATCATGATCTTGCTCACTTGGGTCAGATCTAAGTGACTGTAGGAACTGCAGAATTTGAGTCCAGAAAAACTGTGTTAAAGCCCCCAAAGTACCAGTAATCTAGAAGCCACAAGGTCCTACATGAAGTTCCAGTGTAAGTAAGTTCAAAGTGCAGTAACATACTGAATGGGAACTAGGGAGAAACACAAGTGGTACATGCCTCTTTCAGATGTGCACAGTCAAAGGAAGCCTGTCTATATTATAACAACTATTTTGAGTCATTCTATTAAATGTCCGTATGCATAAAACCCAGTCAATTGAAAATTCATCTGTTTGTAGAGGTTGATTATTCTTAGCATTGGCATTTGGCTTATATTGTACTGTACTTTGGAAAGAGAACTCGTGAATGTAACAGAAGATCAGAACATGGCCATATCCTGGTAAAAATGTTAAGGCATACAAAACATGGAAGCATGTCTCAATCTAATATTTCAAAACACAAGTAATTAAAGTTCTTTCAAATGCACCAACTTTCCTCCCCCCCCCCAATACCTGACCCATAGATGACATCTATAAAGAATGCAGGCGCAGTGAAAATTATTTAAGTACAGTGTTGGATATATGCAGTTTGAGGCTTAAAAGTAAATGCATATAATATTGAAGGCATCTGAACTTGACCTGAAATATAAAATGATTTTTTTATTCAAAGTATAGTTATTATGTTGGTACGGTTGATATCTTGAAAGACCAGTTTCCTCTATAAAATGAGCTACTTGGTTGTTATTTTTTAAAAAGATACATTTCCAACTTTTCTAGAGTCCCACAAGATTCAAAGTAGATTGTCAATCCTAGGAATAAAAGCACTTGGCAAAATAACTTCATTCTTGGTGAAATAGCAGGGAATTAAACGAATATACCCATATTGTAATCAGTATAGGAAGATATAATTATCTTTATGAAACAGTTGCTTTTTCTGAAAGATTATTGAAATGTATGACAATTCGCACTGTGCCTTGAGAGGTGAAGCTTTAACCAACCTCATTCATAACATAGTATATGTAAAGACAGAGCATTCAGATTCAAAATAAGATCCAAACAAATATTTTCTTGAATAAATCAATATGCAAATTTTCATTTCATGAAAGGTCACATGTCAAGAGACTTTGCTAACCACAGATATTTTGGAGACATTTATATGGGTGGAGTAGTATGTTTCAAAGCATTGAATGATGGTGTGTGAGTTATCAACACAATTTTAGGCATTTCAACTTGTTGATCAGGTTCACGTAGTTATCTCTTCTCATCCATAAAACAAGCGTATTTCAGGGTTAAAAACAAAACCTCCATAATCAAATCTAGCCAAATGGCGGGGAAAGGATGGAATTATGATCTCACACAAACATGCTTGTACACTAAAACTATCATTTAGTGTATTGGACACCAAAGTATGTGTTTAACCTTTGCATGCATTTGAGGTTATTGACTTGGATCCAGATTTTTGTTGAGCCATAGGTATTCCTTAATCTGCACTTATTAATTGCCTTCTAAACCAATCTCAGTGGTTTACACAGAATAATTTAAAGCAGTTAAAAACACAAAAACATAAAATACAGTTAAGACAATACTAAAACCCTAACAAGTGGACCCTCTTGGCAAAGCCCCAGCTGGGAGAGCCTGCTGGAACAAAAATGGCTTCAGCCATTTCTGGTAAGTGCAGATAGCGGCCACCTGTCATATCTCAACAGGAATGCTATTTCACAGAACAGGCAGCCACATTAAGAGCTCTGCTCAGAGTTAATGTGGAGCAGGCTTCTGAAGTCCTTGAACTTGTAGGAGGAACTCTGATCTACTGGCTGTATGCAAGATAAGGCAGTTTCTTAAGTAACCTGGTCCTGAGCTGTATAGGGACTTGTATGTCAATACCAATACCTTGAACTTGGCAGCAATTGCCTACTTTTCCTTCTGCCAGTGGGAACAATGGATCAGAAGTCTTTGAAGGAACCGTTTTGCAGAAGGCCTAGTTTGTATTCTGCCCACTGTCAAAGCTGCTCTAGACTATACTAAAATAGCAAAATTCAAACCCAATATAATCCAGATTATAATAGCAGATTTCTGTTATGTACACATTATAAAATATTACTTTGCATGGAAATAATTCTCATAGCACATTACACAAATGCCATACCTGGATTCTCTGCTTTTTACCACTTGAGATCCAATATAACAATTTTTTTTTGGTTTTGTTTCTGTGTACCCTGGCACCCGTAAGTGTTTAGTAGTTTACATTAAATGGGAGTCATTAACAAATTTTGGAATTTAACTGATTTAGCTGGAATCTGCTTGATACCATTACTAGATTAGTAAATATTTTTTCCTATCATTGGAATATTAAAAGTGGAAATTCTCATAAATGGCATTTAATTCAGTGGATTTCTGTCAAAATGAAGATAATGACCAAGGAACGTAGCAAGAGTCCACAAGAGGTTGTTTTTCAACAGCTGGTAATTCAGAAGCATGTTGCCTTTGATTCTGGACGTGGTATATAGCCATCATGACTAGTGGCCATAACACTTTCAGTTTTCAATAGTATTCATATTCAGGTAGTCCTGGACTTGTGCGTATTGGCTTTTTTATTTATTTCTAGTTACATTGCTATATTTGAATGGAAGAGTATTAGTGCTGTTCAAAAACCTGCTTCAGTGGCATCACACTGAGTATCTTAAAAAAAATAAAATTATTATGCACTATATAATCAAGTTGCTTTAAAAGACAACTGGGTTTTGCAGTGCTTTCCCTCTCCAGTTTATGTGGATATTGTAGCTGTGATACTTTATCTGCTCTGCTGTTTTGTTTTTTGGATATGGACAACAATCTTGGACACCTCTTTAGTTTGAAATTGTGTTTATTTTCTGTATATCACCATATATTGGGTATTCAAAATTTGGCTTCCTCAGGAATGATTTCCTTTTTGAAGTTGATGAATTATTTTCTAAAGTGTAGAAAATCAGTCATAATAGCTGGAGGAAACATTTTGTAAAAAAGAAAAACTACCCTTCTCTTAAATGATTACTTTTCAGTTTACTTTGCCTGTTGTATCAAACCATTTTTTAAAGAAAATTTTTAAATGAATATACCAGTACTTTTCAGTTATTATCTGATCTCTTTGCTATGCCACCACACAAATGCTTTGGATATGTTTTAGTACTAGGACAACATGCCATTGTATTGCAAAAAGGATGGGTCTGCTGGCAGGTATCTGAATATTTGGGATTTCAGGCACCTTAAAACAGGAATGCTTAAAAATCAAGATTGCAAACCCAATCTTTGTGGCTTTTAAAGAATAAGTTTACCGTAAACAGTGGCCAGAATCTAACAAACCCACTAACTGCAAAATGCTGAGAGAGCAAGAGAGCTCAGGATAACTTTCTGATTAAGGGCTCAGGTTACAAAACCGAATCTTAGGTTTTGGCTGTTTGTAGGCTGCCACTGTTAAACTCAATACAGGGAATGGGAAACTTCAACCAACCAACCAACCACCTGCATGCCCCTGGTGTAACTTCTTGATTGTTCTGGGAAATAATTGGGATCCCTTTTCTTGTTAACATAGAACCAGCTTTAGATGTACAAAGAACTGAAGCTGCTGGGACCATAGGGGGAGGATTCCACCCCCTCCGTGATCCTGTTCAGTCTTCCTTGTTTCAGATTTTTGGCCCAAGGTTTGTTGGATAGTGGAGATTTGCTAATTCAGATAACACAGTGATGTAGTTATTGAGATGCAAACACCTAGGGGCAAATATTTGAACTTCGTGTGCTTAAAGCTGTTATATATGGGTAGTCCACATTCTAAGTAACTGAAATAAGAAAAACCATTGAACAATTATTAATGGATGGTGTTCCATCTGTCTGTCTGTCCGCATGACTGTATTTCTCCAGCTGTTTATGCCCCCCACCCTCCAAAAGGGACAGCACAATAGATAGTTGTTGTGAAGGGTTTACCCAGAGAAATGTGCTGTGACAGCTGTTAGTCCCTTTCCAACTTTTCCTTACCCTAATGTCAAGAGAAAAAGAATGCCCACAGCCATGGAAGTGTTACTGAACTCATGACTATCTTCTTGTCTTAAGATTTAAAGGCTAGAAAAGAACACAGTGCCGTGTGTTCTATGTTTCACCAGCTGGTGGCAATATTGGCAATCTCCGCTTGCCCCAATTAGGGTGACAAATACAGATTTCATGGCTGACCATGTTTTCTAATTGAATTCCCAGTATCTAACTATGCTATCATATGGGAAAACTTTATTATTTTCAAGCATTTCTGTTTATTCTGACCCTGTTACATATCTGATTATCAGTTCTTTATTTTTTAGAATAACCCTTAGTGCCTAAAAGGGTTCTAAACTACCCAACTGTTGGCTGTGTTTTCCAGATCAGTTTCTTTAGGATTTGAAAGACACTTAAAAAGGATGTTCACAGGTTTGTTACTATATAAATTTGGTTCATTTTAAAGGATATGTAAAAATCTAATTGTATTATTTTCTGGGTAACCTTCCTCTACAACCAGTTTTCTAGAAAAAGTTGGGAATAGGATATCTGTGGGAAAGGTCACTGGTACTTTGGTTATTTAGCCATATTCGTTAAACATCTATAAATTGTATAGTTCGGATCATGTATAACAAGAAGGTTCGGCGATACTCTTTGTTTAACACCAAGGGGTAAGATGAAACACTTAAAAGGGGTGTTTTTTTATTTATTTTGTACTGTATAACACTTTGATTAAATGCAGTATGTGCATTTTGAGACTCTTACTTTGTAAAAGCTATTACAGATTCACCAAGAAAGGAAATTTGTGCTTCCTTCTTGAATGTTAAATTATTTTATTTTGCATTTTATATGAATACAAATTAAAACTGAGCCATCAAACTGCAATAAATCAACAGTAGTGTTTCCATTTTAAACTTTTTGTATTGTAAATAGAACTGTTCAATAAAATATTGTCTGTTATTAAAGATGATTTATATGGTGTCTGGGATTCTACCTAGGAAATATTTGACAAGTAGATACATCATTGCTTTACAACTTCTAGACTACGCAACATTGCATTTTGTATAGCAGCCATACAAAGCAAATGATCAAGGCCATAAAGCAAATGATATTGCTAAAGTAAATATGGTCTAATATGCCAAGTGGCAATGGAACACAGTGACAAGGTTGAAACATTGCAGAGTTAAGCTGGCTTTTCTTAGTTGATCAGGGTTTGGCCAGGTTTGAAAACTCCCTTGGCAATAGACTCAAAAGCATGGGGAAATATTAAAGTGACAGGGCATGCAAATAGTTAACCTATTTATATTCTACGATTCCTATTTAAATATTTACCCACAGAGCCACCCATGTTTGTGATGGCTGCTTTTCTGCCACTACCAACATCTTTGCAGATCAGCTAAGGTTTCTGACTCCCAAATATTTTAACAACAGTAGCTAAAATGAAGACGGTTAACAATGTGTGGACTTTAGTGCGATTTCAGTTCAGGTAAAGACAAGTGCCTCAGATACATTCTATTATGATTGATATCTGCATTTTCCACCTTGCTCTGGGTGGGAGATTTTGGGGTTCTAGTAAAGTAGACCCAGCAATCCTGAAGCCTGTCAACTCCCGCTTTCTACTACCGAAGTGGCACCATCTAGGCACAAGAGGGAGAGGTTTTCGTAGGTTTGGAGGAGCCCAACCTTTTAAGAAGTACAGGATACTCTTGGGGAACCCCCCCCCCAAAAAGCCCAGTGAAGCCTCAGCAAGTTACGGGGTGGGGGGTGGGGAGGGGATGAATGAAGGATCCTAGAAAAAGGCATGGCTGAAATCCTAAATGCTGCCATGTATTGAGTTGTTTTGGGGGATTTTATGTTTAGAGAAGTTTTTTTTACGTTTGATGTTTTTAATATTCTGTTTGGAGCCGCCCAGAGTGGTTGGGGAAATTATTATTATTATTATTATTATTATTATTATTATTATTATTATTTGTTTCGCTGGCCCCACTAGCCACTGGGCCTAGAGAGCAGCCTTTTTCCTCAGCGCCCTTTCCTTGTGTATCACAGCAGACAGGCGGCAGCCACTCTCTTCCAACGGCCAAAACTTGGCTAAGAGGTATGCTTGGGGAGATCCTCCTTATTAGATGATGCCTCAGAAGACAACGGAACCAATGCAGCCCCCTCCGCGTTCCAAGCCGAACCCGTTCAGGCCGCGCTCGCGTCGCGCGAAGTGTCGAGGGGGCGGGACCGGAGGCTGTTCGCAGCAACACCCGAGCGGCGGAAGCACGTTGTCCCTTGAGCCTGTCGGTTGCCAAGGTTTCCTGTGGCGGGGGGGAGGGGGAGAAGAGGGGGGCACTGGCGGCTTCTGGGGGGGGGGAGGCCTCTGCCTGCGCTCCTCACCTCGCGCCACCAAGAGGCGACGCCGCCGCCGCCGGCCGCCACCACCACCATGGCTTCGGCCTGGGCGGGGTTGACTGAGCGCGAGCGGGACGGCTGCCGGGAGCTCCTGGATCTTCTCCACACGGACGACCTGCTGTCGCTGACGGACACGGTGACTAACCGCCTCGTGCAGCCGGACGACCGCCAAGGTATGGGGGGGGGAGTACGCGGAAGGGGCCTGCGGACTTTAAGGGGGGTGGGGGGGGAGTAGAAGTGGAGCTTTGTGGGTCTCACTCCGGAGCGGACTCTGGTCTTCTAGCTTAGCAAATGCAGAGACTCTGGCTGGGCGAAAGCGGGGCGGAGACCTTGAGTCCCTGTCAGGGGGAAAAGGTGGGGTTTCAGTAAACAAACAAGAACAATAATCGCTTTTTCGAACATAAGCGCCTATAGAGAGCCTCGAGGGGAAATGTTTGAACCGAATGGAAAAATAATAATACTGCATAATTTTGGTATTTCTAAGAGACGGGGGGGGGCGGGGGGAGGATGAGGACAACAATGAAAGTCGGGGTTAGTATTTTGGAGTTTGTTTTTAAGCTACATACTTCATTTCTCTCCACACACACATCCTCCTGTCAGTGTGTTTTTTTTAAAAAAACCTGCCAGCTATTTGAAAACAAGTGCAGATATTTGTATGCTGTTTTGCCACAGTAGGTCTTCGGGTTGTAGGAACAAAACTGATATTCTGCTCCAAGTGTGACTTTACTCTTTGGCTCATAGAACTGCAGAGAAAACAGCAGGCAGAGTTCACTTAGCAAGTCTTTGGACTTCGGGAGCTGTGTTGTCGTTGTGCACTGTTTTAAGGGGGCACAGTTGCAAAAGAATGTATTTGGAGGGGGGGTCCTTAAACTTCATTAACTGAAATCCGTATTCTTTTTTAATCCTTAACAAATCCATCTGAAGATTCTAGCTGCCAGGAACAGCCCTGTCTGCTCTCTTGGCCCAGAGTTTGTCACCCGTCCAGCTTCCAGATCTGATTGAAGAGGTTTATACTTCTAAGCCATTCCAGGAGCCTTTTTCACTAACATTTAGTGGGTGTTAGAAATAAATTTGTTTGACCAGAAAATATGTCCAGACAAAAATGCATGCTGTCATGTTAGCTATAATTTTTTGTTTTATTTTGTAAAATAGGGATTTTTATGATCTTCTGACAGCGTATGTTTGTTAAAGACTATGTGCCAATTAAATATGATACTGGCATATTAAATTCATGTGTCTTTGATGAGACCAAAATAAAGAAGTACTTTATATTGCTAATACACCTTTAAAAATGGCTTGCAGTTTGGGTCTTTTACTATTATTTTAACTGTGTCCAGATATAAGGGAGCCATTATGAGAAAATCGCTTTGTGTTGTTTCCTATTGTTACTTGGCTGATGATTTCATACAGCTGCATGAGTAGTAGTGTCATATAATAAAAGGTAATGCTTATTTGTAGGAAGATAGAAGTTGAAGTATGTGGTTACTGTGTGGAGTTAGTAGTGTTCATGGCTTCTGCAGCCCCACAGGTGGGACACTGAAAGAAAATAGGGGAGCTTCTAAAGTTTTCGAAGCCTGTTCTTACCATTGAGAAGGAGGCATTAGTGACTCAGTGTTGTGGGTCAAGAGGCAGCTTCCATTCTGCTTGGTTCTTCTCTGACCGCCAGGACAGTGGCAGCTCTGCCTCTCCAATCCTCGAGTGGTATTGAACACTATTCCTACTCACAGTAGATCCATTGAAGTTATTGGACATTAATTTCAGTGGGTCAACCCTGAGTAAGAATTGGTAGGATACAACCCATTGTTTGCAACTAAAAGAAAGTGTGCTCAACTGATCTGCCCTTGCCTCTCCCATCCCTGTCTGAATTTAGTTTGTATGTATGTGGATTCTTGGCGTAGGGGCTTCTTTGTGTTGCTGCCTATTGTTACATAACCAATATTTTCATACAGCTGCACATCTACCACATAACACAAATGCCCCAACTAATACCATACCATGTGCATGTGCAGTCACAGAACTATAAAAAGGAATTGCAGCTGTGTGTGCATACATAATTTAAAATACAGTGATCTAGTGATGATTTTTTTACCTGGTGAAGAAATGGTTCTAAGACTCACTCTTACCAGGGAGCATTTAAAACCTCTGTAATTCTTAGTGTTGTATCCAGTGGACTTCTGCTTATGTAACAGAACTTAATTTTTTCAAGCTTCCTGAATGTTCTTTTAAATTGCTCTGGCGGGTTAGGCCCTCTGAAGACCAATTTTGAGGGCAGTTGCAGGACTATGGTAGGGAAGCAGAAGAAAGTGAAGTCCCATTGTGTGAACAGAAGCTAGCTTCCACAACACTGGATTCTTTGCTTAGTCAGCAGTGATCAAATACATGTGATTGCAGCAATAATTTATAATAAAGAACTGATCCTACAGAAAGATTATACCAATGAAGGTGTTCAATTTAAGTTTAGCACTTTGTTCTGCCTATAAACTAGAATGCTTGTAGAACACTAGAATTCTATGTTGTGTTTTAATTGTGGGATGTGTTATGTTTTTGGGGAAAAAGAAATCCTACACGAACTTGTCAGTATTCTACTATACTGAGCATCTGGCTAGATTGTCCAACTTTCATCTCTTCCCATCTTCCATCAGTGCCTAGGGGAAGGGCTACTCTGCTTTGGAACACAGTGAAGTAAAGTTATAGCTCCAAGTGGGAGGTGGGAATTAAAATAAGAACATTTATGTGCTTATCTGAGAAGGTTTTTGGGGAGTACATAGCCGGCTTTTTAGTACTTAAAATCTAGCCTTTGGAAGGTGCTCTGATTCAATTTAAAATTTAAGAAGCCAAACTAAATAAAGTTATAAGACTTAAAATAAATTAAATATTTGAAGTGTAAATGGTAGAGGTTTGCTGTGAGCACATGTTGCACCTTATATTTGTAGCATTTGGAAGCAACTCAAAACTGTTTTGGATCCCCTCTATCATTTTCTTCTCTAGTTTTTTGGTGACCCAGTGACTTTGGGAGAAGGAGAGCTTTCCTGCTAGGTGATTTATTTTATCTTTGTTATACTGGCAAAGGCATTTTTTTCTCACCCCTCCACCACCTCCTTCCTAGAAGTACACTCTGTGAAATAAGAGAACACTATGTTTTTTTATTGTTAGGAAAAGAATAGTTGGAAAATAAGTCTAACTCCATCGCTTATGCCCTGCTTTCACATCCAGAATGATGACTTGCGTAAAGAAAACCATTCCTCTCTCAAATCACTGTGATTGGAGTACACCAGGGGTGTACAAACTTTTTTCAAAGTGGGCGAGATTTGATGAAGTGAACAAGCATGAGGGCCAACCAAAGCTTTTTTTACAAGTTTACCCTAAAATTGTTGAACTTTGTTTAGGATTGAAGTTGATGAGTTTTTTAAAAAAAGATTTTACCCCAGGACATATACTGCCATGGGGGCTGGATTAAATCGACCGGCAGGCTGGATTAGGCCCCCGAAATGGACTTTGGACATGCCTGGAGCACACAGAGAAAATTATCTAATGTGATTAAAAGTTAGTCCTGTCAGTCAAAATGAAATATTATTC